AACATCTGCCACAATTCCGCCTCGTTTCCTCAAAGACAGTGGAGCGGAAGATTGCCCAACAGAGCGGGGCGGAATCGAAAAACAGTGTAGAGAACATGCTAGACAAAGCTGAAGAGAATCGAATGTTTCCATACCATGGTTGATACATCCCGGCACGGCCCTGGATAACCGTTGTGAAAATGTGGAGTTTTGGTTACTCGGAAGCAGAAAGACCGTTTCCATGGTTGATACCTTGCAATTTGTATGATTCCACATGTCCTTTCTTGTACTATGCCAGTCCGGTATGGACTACTGCAAGTCTCGGAACTGGTTTGGTTCTGTATGGGATGTATCAGAGATATCAAATGGAATATGGAATACACATTTGTATTGTGTGTTTAGAATCTGTCAAGTATCCACTTGGCATGCCCTACAGTACAATACATATAGGTGCATCTATAGGTATCGGTTGATGCAAAACATACAAGTTCACAATCCAGTAGGATTCGCAAGATCGAATCCACACCGCTCACATGCAAACGAGTAGACCAGCACCGATCTACATGAGATAAAAGAATCCGAGAGGATGAACCAAGGACTCCTGGATTCTGAGCTCATCACATCACAGAAGGACCACTCCCTTGCAGAGCTGGACACCAACGCAGGAACACTGCAAGTGAAATAAGCAACATGGGACTGATCCAAAGGGACAAAGAACAGTGTCTTGATTTGCAGAGTCATGCGCAAGGGGGGCAATCTATACAACGCCCCATGGAGCGAGTCAGACTCGCAGCCATTGGGAAATCCAACCGATGACAAGCCATTTAAGCTTGCTTATTCACAGACAAGCATCCCTCAAGACTAGTACAGCCCTGGAGTATACCACCTGGTGATATCCCGTGCTTGCCTGAAACCAACAAGCCCAGGATCATCCATCCCTTCTCAAGTCCAAGGAAGTTCAAGCGCTTATAGCAAACCACTCACCAACCAGCCAACCAGCGAACTAACCACTTAACCAACAAACAAACCCATGGAACTAACTAGAAAACAAAGCAAGAAACACCAAATGAGATGTCCAAGCCCAAGCCCCAAAAATAGATAGAATTACCACATCTCCGACCCGGGAAGCTAAAGAAGTCCGGGGCCAATAGTGGTCCCGGACCAGTCCAGACTCAAACCACGCTCATTGCCATATGCGCGCGCTTTAAACATGCAATGCGCCCCCTAGATACTGTCTGATATGGCTCTATATTGTCGGCAGTTGAACCCCAAGATGAGACAAGAGCCAGGGGACAGACACAATCATTGCATGACTGACGTGCGCCGATTCATCCCCCTTTTCCCCTTTTTCAATTGGGGGCATGGTATGTGCGCCGGATACGCGCATCGGAAACGCATCGGCCAGGTACTAGTTTCCAAGGCATTCGGGCACGCTTTCTGTGGGCACTGGTACTTCTGCCCATTTGATGAGACTTGTTGCTTGCAGTTTGGGATGGGCGCCAACCCCCCGTTGCGACCACGTACTCTCTGCATACTGTATCTGTTCCGAAGCCGCCCCCCTTTTTCTTTTTTGGTTGCCTTTTCCTCTTGCTTTGGGCGACTTTGCGAAGGTCGTGTTTAGTACAATTGTTTCCTTGGCTCTAACAGATCGGCGTGTCGAGTTTGTTTCCTTTGATTACAGGAGTATCAGATTCGTGTACGGGTAGGACAGGATCCTTGGGTCTTTGATATTACGTTGTACAGCAGTGTACAGTATAGTATATGTGAATGTCGTAATGTGTGCAAATTATCATGGAATTCTAGAATACAAGTAAGCAGGCCATTGCCCGAAAGGAGATGGTCGGATAAGGGGGTCGACATTTGATCGGCGTATTGCATGGTGCCAGACTCGTCCAAGGAAAGACTCTCATAATTGTGAGAACTAGTCGTGTTCCTCTATGCAGCTGATACATTCCCGAGAAACAAGCATAATCAACTATGCAAATTAAAGTGTTCAAGTCCCTGGCATGCGGCAGTTCCCAGTGCAATTGAAGGTGATCTACCGTTTGCCCGTGTCTATCATTCAAGTTCATTCATTTCAAGTGTCCCTTGCTTTCCATGCCCTCGCTTATCGCTTCCCCTTTACTTGCACGAGGCGGAATCCTCTGGCGATAGGGTGATCATTGCTTCGGCAACTGCCCCGGTTCAGACGGAAGGCGCTGTAGAATTATTCGACCACATTCCTTGGAACCTAACCCCACAGAAGAGGTACATGTAGAGTGTTGTTCAACAGGGACAGTTGAGAAACGGTCGAGTCGCATATATGGTTTCATGTGCAGATGCGACTCATCAACGAGTGGCTGGAGTCAACTCCCCAGATGGAAGTAAGGATGACAAAAGCTCCGAGTGTCACTGACGATACTTTCTCCAGTTGAGACGTCTACGAACCTTATCTAAGTCGCCAGCGTGTCACAAAGTGTAAAATGCAAAGTGAACAATGAGACCGGGAGCACAACCATTAAAGCTACTAGTATTGTAGAACCAGGATCCGTAACCGGAGAGACTGTGGAGGCCGAAATTAGTGCTGAGGCAAGAACCTGCTTTTGCGGAACTTCCCCCACATAGAGAGGACAAAGAGGCTCGGAGGCTCGGGGCTACCGGGGGCAATTAGAGCCAAGCGTAGGCTGACGCGAATGGGGGAAGCACGCGAAATCAGTGGCTTCTGGACCAGTCACTGCATGTGTAAAAGTAGACCCTGGAACGCGACCGTATCGGAGTTCCAAAGATGGTACTGGGGGCCTTGTCGATCAGGAGTGTATTAGAGTGTCTCTGTCATAGGGAAGGGAATTGAGGCCTTGCAGGAAAGGGGAATATTACCATGTCTTGGAAAATGACTGGGTCGCGGCATACGGTCAAAAACGCAACAGTTTCACTATATTCTATACATTGTGGTAATATTCTGTACCTGTGCCTGTGCCTGTGCCTGTTCCTGGATAGTTCATATGTTCCTGTCTTGGTCCTGTCTATTAATTATAATATAGATAAATCACTCATCTAAAGTACTCCCCTGGGATACCCGAAAGGCAAATACCGCTATCCCCATACGGTAAGTTGGTTCAGCCTCCACTTTACCACTTTACCGTACTGTCCACAGGTGTATCTCCGTTTCTTCTTAACCTCTTCCTTTTCTCTTCTCCCTTCCACACCCGCCTGGAGAGAGATTGTCAAAAACCTCCTCCTTGTACCTCTCTCCTTCTCTTCTTCACACCTCTTCTCTCCCCTTTTTACCTCTCCTGTCAACTTGCGGAGTCCCTAGAGCCCGGTTTGCTGTCTTGACATTCCAGTCATCTCAGCTATACCACTCTTGTCGAGTCGATCTTCGACCTTGACCTCCCTCCAATTCGACGTTTGTTAACTCAAACGGCGATCCCTCCGACCTTGTCCGCCGGTGCCCTCCTGATCCCCCGGACCTCGACCCTTGGACCCTCCTGTTCCAGCTCCTGCCGGTTAGACGAGCGACAGTGTGGTATACCCATTGGATTGACTTTTGATACGAATTCTGAGTTATCTCGGTTTTTGGTCGACATTGGTTTTATACATTGGGTGAGTAAATTCATTTTTTTTTCAGTTCATTTGTGCATGTCACGCCCTGGCCCGAACCGCCCCGATGGATAGACCAGCCACCGATACTCGATTTTCCCGGACAAGAGTCCACGAGACCGTTCAATATCCAAATATGGATGGGGTGCAAAAAATTTCGTTTCGTCGGTGTGCATGAAAATTTGGCCCACAGGGCATGGTATAGTGGATTCCGTATATCCAAGTGTGCTGCCCCGACCAGATATACCTCCCGAGTCGTCAAAGTTATCAACAAGCCGGATGCTGGATATACTGGATATGGGGGGTAACAGTTCATGGAGCGGTAAAGGCTGTCCTTGGAGACGGGAAATTATGTTTTCAATAAAGATGCCATGGAATGCACCTCTAGGGCTTGACAGGCTACCTCTACCCTGGGTCCAGCTATCCAATACGAACTGCTTCTATATCTCCGGTGGGAGAATTTAAGGGGTCCACGCAAATCTTGTACTCTTGCTGCACATGCCGGGTGTCGGGGTGACGATCGTGGCCTGGCAAATACCTCTAGGCTGCACCTGGACAATCATTCCCATTGTCTATTGAACAGTTGTTGAATTGAATTGACTGACATTGTTGCCTATCGATCAGATTTTGTTCCGACTTCTGAATAGATCCACTTGTTTCTTCAACGTGGAGATAATCTCAAGTCGTTCAATTCCCGTCGAACTTCCTTCAATCTCTTCACTGAGACTTGTTCATTCATCCGTTAATCCGTGAAGTGTACGTTCGGATCATTCCTCTTTCAAGACCGCAGCCCCTGATCTTGACCCCCTTCATAGGGTTATCCTCCTTCACTCCACATTCCGCAGAATACACTGGCCTAGGGGTGAAGACGTTCACTCGTCCTTCATCTCTCTGTTTGGTATCCATCAGAATCCCAATTCAACGGATCATTCCTGCCTAGATGCCAGTCTTGCCATTACGGTAAGGGTTGCATTGTGCCCTCTGTCCGAAGGCTCCTATCTGGGTTAGTACTTTCTCAGAGTGATGACCCTTTACCTCTCATTGGATATCAAATGTCTTTGCCCTCCTACTTCCTCTACCAAGCTTTTCACTTTACACAGTCTCTTCCACACTCTCTTTTTGCTTCACAGATCTCTCATCTTATATTAATCTTTAATGCTCTACGCCGGCCTCCGCTAATATCATAATTTACCTCAGCTTCTGTCCTCTACGACTTCCACCTCGGACCCCTCCGGCCTTCACCTCAGCATTTGGACTATTGTCTCTTGCGCTGTCCATTCATTAATTGTTCAACTCTACATTCATTCCTCTTACTAATTCCACGACTGTCACTCTCTTAATTCCGTCGTTGTCTGTCCGGAGCCATCTCTACAGACTTCCTTTCATTCGAATTCCGCAAAGCTAATACTTCGACGCACCTCATACTTCGACCCTTTTTGACCATGGATTACCACCGCAACTACCGTCCTTGTTCCACTTTCTTCGTGGAGGATGACTATGGAATGGAATCTCGAATCCGTGCTGAACGTCAAGCGAAGCAGGAACATGACAAGCTCCTTGCTCGTGAGCGTCAGTACGCCATGGCCGACGAGCTGTCCAGACTCACCAGCGATGAGCTTCGGGATGATGTCCTGAGCCACATGCTGGAGATGGATGTAAGTTTTTCCCTTTTTTCTGACCCTTTATCACGATCCTCGATTCTGATTCATCTTTTCTACAGAGCCAAACTCAGCCTGACGTCGAATCCATCGACATCCAAACCGAAATCCAGTGGTTCATGCGACCCTATCTTCTTGACTTTTTGATCGAGGCCCACACTGCGTTCCAGCTCCTGCCATCCACCCTGTTCTTGGCGATCAACCTTTTGGACCGATACTGCTCCAAGCGTGTCGTCTATAAGCGTCATTATCAGTTGGTTGGCTGTGCAGCTCTGCTAATTGCGGCCAAGTACAACGACAAGAAGGACCGCGTTCCTACTGTCAAAGAATTGAAGTCGATGTGCTGTTCGCTCTATGATGATGACATGTTCATTCAGATGGAGTGGCATGTCCTTCAGACTCTTGGCTGGACCATCGGACACCCGACCGTGGACGCTTTCCTGCAGCACGCCGTCTTAGATGAGCCTTACGACCCCGAGGTGGAACACATGGCTTTGTACATTCTGGAGATCGCCCTGTTTCACCGTGACTTTGTCTCCAAGCAGTCATCAGAGCTCGCTCGTGCTGCCCTGGCTCTGTCTCGTTGCATCCTCAACCGGCCGCAGCCTCGTCACACTCACTGGGCTTCTCAGTACGACTCGATGACCCTTGTTGCCTTGTCTCAACAGTTGCACCAGCCTTCCACCGTCGTTGCCCGCAAGTATGCTTCGGCTCACTACTCGCGTGTCTCCAAGGTCATGGAGCACTTCCTCAACCGCCAGGCTTCTTTGGCCAGCTACGCCCGTTGCACCCCTCCGGTCGAGACTCCTGTCGAGTCGAAGCCTTACAATGGGGAGATGGGCCTTGCAACCCCTCAGAAGTCTTCGCAGTTGACTGCTATTCCCCATGGATACCTCACTCCACCAATCACTCCGGAGAACGAGGCTCTCGTGCATGCTCATGCACAAATGGGGAACCATGACATGACCCGCGGGATGCCCACTGTCCACGGCTGTTCGCCATCACCAGCACCTTCCGCTGAGATGCAATACATGAACAGTGAAGCATACCAGCAACACCAAGAAGCTTTGTACATGGCTCAGCAGGCCGCCCTCCAACACTTCCCTGCTGCCCCGACTCACATGGAAATGGATCAGACCTATGCGGGTGGGATGTAAATGTGACAACGGAAGCAAAAGCCAACCCAAAAGTGATTTGGTCCTTGCACATATTTCCATCAGTTCATCTTCTTCATCTCAACCTCATGGCCTCCAAGGAGTGTCCCTTCTCGCATTGATTCACCACGATACTTGTTCTAATATTCAATGCTCCATGTGCAGTCGACCTGTGCCATATCCTCCATTTTGATCGCGTCATCATACATCTTTTTACGCTTTGCATTCGACCTCGGTGCCCCCGAAGCCGAGACCAGCCCTTTCACTTCCTGTTCTAAAAATTGCATACCCATTTGCTTCCAATACCCAAACAGTTTTGGGTCAAAGTTGCACTTGATTTGACCATCTAGCATTGCGAGCGCGAGCCATGTTGATTTATTTGTTTTAAGAATGCATTTTGCTCTTTTTGTCCATCACCCCACCACTTCATCGCCTCATCTTCGCTTCTCTTGTCAAGGAACACCACACATTCCTTGGCCCTTCTTGTCCTGCTGCGCGCCAGTTGGCGCTGCGCTATTTGATATCCCCTACCCTCGACGATCCTTAGCAGCATGGCTGCCTTGCTTACCCCCCAATCGCACTCCCCATTCCCAATCCCCCACCCCCAACCCCCTTCCCCAATTATCCCCTACACCACAACCCCCCTCCAGAAAAAAAAAACAAACCGTTTTTCATGTGCCTCTCCTCCAGCTCACAATGCCATTACACACGCAGCATGAGCGCGAATATACCTTCCGACACGACGATGCCTCGCTATCCAAGTCAGAAGCTATTCGCAGAGGTCACAAAAAAAGCAAAAAAAGTGAGAAAACCCGGAAAAAATTATGTCTTCTGGGGAGGAAAAGAGAATCCAGATCTTCATTTGTCGGATCTGATGTCTTTTTTTCCTTTTCCCTTTGCTCTCCTCTTCCTATGTATCTAGTCATTGAAACATGGCCCTCAATGTCTACCCGTCCCTTTCTTTTCACCTGGGATGGGTGGCGAGGTGTCTTTTTTGATCCTTTGTGTGGATTTCAGATTGGGTTGTTAGATTCGCCGTTTGGCATTGAATTGTATCCCATTTTCTGTGAACTTGAATTCTTCATACATGTAGATGTGTAATTCTTTGGTATATACTATTCCATGTTGTAGCTTATGCCGCAATACCAAGGTACCTCATGAAAACATGCCCTTGTTGTTATCAAGCATGTAGCCCAAGTCTACGCCTTGTCTCCATGCTGTCCTACTCCCATTATTACCCATACCACCATTCATTCTACTAAAATGAATACCCTGAGTTATTGGCCACTGCCCATTTGCCGCCGCTGTGGATATCAGGCTCGCAATTCATTGCCTTGTTTTCATCCATGTTGGATGTGATACCGATGGTCATATGATCACGTTCTGAGAACAGATATCACCAAATTAAGATAGTAACCATTCAAGAGACCTAATTCAGTGTTGATAGAAAAGTAAATCGGTATGTGTGCACGTCCTACATATAGCTTTAATTCAAAGCCTGAGGGATTGTTGACGATGAATTGGGTAGTTGGCGGATATATATTCCTGCGTTTCTGCTTCACAACATGAACGAAATTGTTCATTTTTAAGTGGTTTTTGATTTCAATAAAGATAGTAACTCGCAAGTATTATTTATATCCATTTATAATTTCCACATCAGTTGAATTGCAAGATGAGAAGCATCAAGGTAATACTCAGAGGACAACAAGAACGGACAACCTTAATTCCAACGAAAACCAGAGGCCAACTCGGTTAAGCTAGATTCTCAACCTTAAATAAATGAGTCTACTGATAATCTAGTGAAATCCCTAGATTGAATACAAAAACATAGTGTAAAAGGCCATAATAAAGGCACCAAAAGAAGACTTGTTAACTACTCTAACAATCCAGTAAAGTAATACAGAAATAATCAACCACTGCCATTCCAGCCGAGAAATACAATTTCGCTCCATTGCAATAAAACCCAGATCCATTAGATCCAATAACCCACGCTATGCATCGCAACAAACAAAATAAACAGGTCGAATCCTTTAACTAGAGAGCCCCACTGCCAGCACAACCTTGCAGCAGCTAGGTGTCCATGCCGACAATGAGCACGTCTAGTCTCAAGAGTAACCCGTGGAAAGGTCGAGAAGGGAGGTAGAAAGTAGAGGAAAGGAAGGCGAGAAGGAAGAAAGGAGACAGGAGAAAGGAGAAAAGGGGGAGAGAGAGGAAGTATAGACAAGGAACCAACAAGGGTCCAAAGAGAGTCGGGAGTCGGGAGTCGAGAGTGAGAGCTGAGAGTCAAGAAACAAGATAAAAAAAGCAGACCAGTAAAAACGCCAGAACCATAAACTCCAATAATAATGATACAAGGGTGGAGAAGGCAAAAATCCGGGGAGAGTAAGGATCTGTTGGCGAGGCAATGAGGGTAAAACGGCAAGAATCCGAGAGAGACGCGACAGTCCCAATGGAGTCAGGGCAGTCAGGGGCTGAGCGGTGAAAGAAAGGGGGACACCGCCTCACTTTTGGCACTCGCGCGCGTAACGTGTCTCTCCGCGTCTTGCCTAGCTCAATTGCCCAGCCAGCCAATATGGTCCATATGGATGTGGTGATCCATGTAGACGCCTATTTCCACCGTTGCTTGTCCCAGTCTGATGGCCGTGTCTCGTCGTAGATCTGGCCACCCTTGTTGTGGACGATGACCGGGGGTTTGCGGACGGGATTGGCTGCTGGGGTCTGCATTAGCTTGGGATCTGGGAGATCGGAGACAGGGGCCCTTGACGTACTCAGATTCCGGACTTCCGTGGCTACCACTTGGTCGCCGCTGCCTCTGCTGGCCAACGTTGAGTTGGAGTCGTTGACTTTGTGCGGCATGTTGGAATTGAATATTGTGACGGCGGGGAAGGAGAAGGAGAAGTAGATATTAAGGTATTAAAGAGGTTGAGGTAAAAGAGGTATGTATAGAAGGCGTTAGGCGTGAGGAGCGCGCAGTGTTGAACTGCGTGCGGATAATATAACACGAGAATAGAAATCAAAGATATATATATAGAGACACGAAGAAGAAAGAAAGACAAAAAAAACGACAGATGGTAATTATATGAGTGGTTGGGTGGATTATGAGTTGGATGATTCTCAGAGGGCGACGACACTTCTTTTTGTATAGGGCCATTGAGCTCCCAGCTCCCGATCTACACTCTGGGGAACACAGCTTTAACGGAATGGATCGCCCCTTGACGTATTTGGTGCCTGGTAACTTACACCATGGAGCTATTCATTGGTGGATAGGGCGGATCGAAAGTAGGGCAGCCAGTCAGTGAGCTGAGGTTGTTACTAGGGCTTCAGAAGACATGTAAGATTGCGCCAATAATGATGAGTCAGCCATTCCTCCAGAAATAGAGACAATTGGACTGGTCTGTTACCTAGTATGTAGGCCGAACTTACCCACGTATGTAGTAAATTACCTAGTAACCTTGTAGTCCCCTTCACCGCATTACATTACTCATAACTGCGCCAATGGCGGCTGTAGACACAATATCTCCTGTATAGGGGGAATTCCTCTTCTCACCGCTGGAACTTCAGCTCCACCATGGTCCAGAATCCCAGGTCTCAATTACGGAGTACGGAATACTGGGGAAATTATTGGACATCTCAATTCTCAATAGCGTCTAACATGACTAGGCGGATGATCGACCTCCTCTACCCTATGTGAACCAAGAAATAATTATGAAACCTCAAGTCCCCAACAGCCTATAGATGCGTAAACAAGTCATAGCCTCATCGGGCACGGATGTGCGTCATTCTCCATCCCAGACCGAGATTCTGGCCCTTTCCTGGGTCAATCACTTCCCAAGTGAAGGCTCCCTAGCAACGCTGAACTGTGCAATTGCGAAAGCCTGCCCTCTGACCTAGTCCCGTGGCCACATCGTCACCATTCTAGACCAGCGACCAGCCTACCACGAAAAAAATATCAGCTCACATGTCCACCGCCATCTCGCTTCATCCGATCCTGCCATCCATTCATGCTCCGTCGAATACCTAGTGTCCGTCGTGGTGCCTGTTGGACCATGGACATGGTCGTCGTGTGAAACGTCGACACGGCCTGGAATCCACGGGTGGATGCCTCGGGTTTCGCCTCGCTTGCCCCGGTCCCTGCAGAAGCACTATTTCCAGTCTGTTCCTGCGTCACCGACGTCCTTGCGAGTTTCGGTCCTGGCCTTGATGGAGCCGCTATCCACGTGTAGCCATTTGGGTTGGTCGGCTCCAGCGTGGGTCGGGATGGTTGAAGTGGCCGTTGTTGGACACGGTGCGAGAATAGAGCCGGTGGAATGCTCTGCGTTGGGTATTGGCTCTGAGACGGTTGCCCGTACCTGCGGGATGGTTGTGGCTGTGGTAAGACAGGCTCTCTCTTTTGGATCCCTGGCCCACCGAAGAAGTTGGAGATGCTGGCCTGTGTGAGGCCGTCCTTGCGGGCTGCATTGCTGGATACACTCGGTTTGTTTGCCACTACGACGTCTGCAGTAGGCTTGGACTTGGATGCTGACTCCGCGGGCGGTTCTGGATTCGCTGTAATGTAGTCTCGGGCAGATGTAAAGCCTGATGAAATGGCTGTAGGGACTGTAAATTGTGTTGAGTTATTCATAGTATACGCGGCAGATGACATGTAGGTAGTCGAGCCTGGTCCTTGGTTCATGTCTGACCGGCGTCGTTTGGGATTTGGCTCGTCAACGTCGTTGGCAGATGTACCATCGAACTTGCTGCGATCTTCTTCCCCTTCAGGTGTCCATCGGTCGTCCAGCGTCGATGGAAGGAGTGCGAGCCCCCTGTACATGTCATCGAGAGATGGGCGAGGGCGACGCAGAATATCCGCAATGGAATATACGACTTTCTCGTGAAGTGAAGGTCCCGTTAATCGGAAGCGAGTTGTGACCAACTTAGGAGGAAGGAAGGGCGTCAAATTCGTCGAACCATCCTCTCCTTCGCCTAGTCGGGGCTGTCGAAGCGGAAGACTCAGGTACAGCAGTGCTTGGGCCCTGGTCATCGCGACATACAACAATCGTCTCTCTTCCTCAACCACCTCTGCACGCGAGTGAGGGATGCTTCCGTTATACACAGCAGGTACAAACACAACAGGCCACTCCAACCCCTTGGCAGCGTGAATGGTCGAGATGGTGACCTTTTCCTGGGGTTGACCACCCTCCTGGTTTTCTTCTTTGGTGGTGATCTCGGTGGCAAGCGCAACATTCGCCAGGAACCGAGTGAGAGCCTCCTCGCCTGGATGTGCCTGTTGTTGCTCTACACCTTCGATCTCAGGGAGATCCATCTCTTTGTCAACCTCCTCCTCTTCAAATGCTGCGACCTCGGTGGCCTGGTGCATCAGTTCCTTGACGTTCGCCCAGCGACTGTCTTCGTCTAGGGGATACGCCCTGATGAGGTATTCTTGGAAGGAGAGACGTTCCGTGATGAATTCAATCAGAACACGCGGAGCTGATGCATCTTCACAGTCCTGCAACTTTTGTCGTGAAGCCTCGATCAACTTGACTAAGGTACAAAGTCCCTGCTCTGCCGCCTTTTGCAGCTTTTTCTCTGTCGAACGACGGCCTTGAATGACATCTTTGATAAAGTCCCACAATGGTACATTGGCCTTTTCCGCGCCACCCGTCAGTTGCTTGATCGTCTCATCGCCGATTCTTCGAGGCGGAACATTGACGATATTCAACAACGCATCCGAATGCCCCGTGTGACTGACAACTCTCATATAATTCAGAAGAATCTTGACTTCAGTCCGGTCAAAGAATTTGCGCCCCCCGACCATCTTATATGGTATTCCTGCTCTTCCAAACGCTGTCTCAATTTGTGTAGACAGCGAAGCCGATCGAAGCAAGACAGCAAAATCAGACATACGCAACAGCCCACCAGTCATCGCCTGGCAACGCTTGATTTCGAGCACCATCCATTTCGCCTCTGCGCCGGGATTTGGGAGCTTTCTCAACACCGGCAAGGTTCCAAAAGTGTGAGTTGCCTGCAGTGCCTTGGCAGGCCGACTGGTATCCTGCTCAATAACTTCTTGAGCCGAGTTCAAGATGGACGCCGAAGATCGGTAGTTGTCTGACAAGAGGACAACGGTCGTGTTGGAATAATGCCGCTGCATTCGCTTGAGATTTTGAATCTCCGCTGAGCGAAAGCCGTAGATGCTCTGGTCAGGATCACCAACGATGGTGATCCGTCTGTTCTTCGATGCAAACAGATTCATCAACTCATATTGAATGACATTGGTATCCTGGAACTCATCCACAAGAACAGCTTGCACATTGGAGACACACTCTGGGTGCTCGCGAAGTAGATCCCCACAGCGCAGAAGAAGGTCATCATAGTCCAAGAGATTGGAGGCCGCCAAAGCTGATTCATAGTCGCGATAGATATCAACTAGCTCCTGCTCCTCTGCTTTAGCTTTTGCAGCCACGGCCTCGGGAGTAAGACCATGTGCCTTGTGCCGGGAGATACGGCCTTGAGCCGCTTTGGGTTCAATGCTCGACTTGAGTCGTTTGATAGTCCGCTGTCACCGCAATTAGAGATAAACCACAGACATAGATAAAGATAAATCCAAAGCATACTCTGATTATAGCGCGGGTATCATCTGAGTCCGCAATGCCGAATCCCTTCCGCAAACCAATCAAGTACCCATATTTAACAAGATACCGACGACAAATAGAGTGAAAAGTCCCCAGGATCAAGCGCGATTCGAGCTTTTCACCAATGAGCTTCGCCAGCCGCTCTCGCATCTCACGACTAGCCTTGATTGTGAACGTGCAACAGATAACATCCTGTGGTTGGTATCCATGATGGGAGAGTAAATACGCGACGCGTGCGGTCAAGGTTTTTGTCTTGCCGGAGCCTGGAGGAGCGAGCACTTGTAGAATTGAGCCAGACGATGTTACAGCCTCGCGCTGCGCATGATTTAGTCCATCTAGGATGGGATCCATGACATGCTGGGTGTTGGGGTATTGCTCGAGTTCTTATGAGGGGGAGACGCGAGGGAACGCGGCGTCATGTGACATATTCCATCGAGGAGGTTGAAGGATGAACAATGTGTGGATGGTATATGGAAAATTTAGGTTAGATCATGGTCAATTGAAGTATAATAAGTCGATTGAAGTGGTTTTGTGAAATAGAATCTATGAGGACTGTTGGTTTACCGCTGGTGTGGCCAACGACCTGTACCTTGTATAAGCTATTTTCGAAGCAATCACGTTAGATTCAACAGTGTGAATTTCTGAATCGTTCCTTCAATATTAGGATCCAAATTAGTAGCTCGCTTTTTATATAAAAAGAAAGAAAGAAAAAAAAAAAAAAAAAAAAAAGGAATCAACAAGGCGAGTGAAGCATGTGGCACCATGGTAGGAGGGCTAAGTCATCGGGGATCAAACAACTGGAATTCCTAAGATCCTCTGGCCTAGTTTCAATTTTTACTAGTAAAAATTTATTGAAAACCTCAAATCACAAGGACCATCTGGCCTGTTCAAGCCACTGTTTGGACTGGAACCCGTATTCAATCCCATATGAATCGATGAGAAGAGGCAATCGGTCTTCTAACTTGCAATGGATGAAGCTCTTTATTGGCAAGGATTTTGTTCTTCGTTTATCTAGAAAGGTCCTAGGATCAAATGTCAGTTGTCAAATCGAATGGATTTTAAATCGGAGTTGCCCTAGTATAAACTGTTTTAGGCACCTTGGAAACATTGTAACCCGGGAGCAAAATTAGAATTTTAGGATTATTTAGTTTTAGACATGGCAACTGGGCTAGTTAGAAAGATTGCTGCCTTTTTCGAGATTCTTGGTTTTATTTTACTGGTAACAGAATGCTTTTAACCCCCTGGGATTCTTTGAAACCCCGGCTTTTTGATATTGCTTTACTGGTACCGTTCTAAGGATAGTTTGACAAGCCACTCCGTTATAACATAATATAGCTCGTACTATGTAGCCACGATATCATAATAGGCCTAATAAGAGTTTTGTATTTTACGAAGCCTGAACTACTGTACTAGACTGGCGAGCTTGACTCTTCATCGGTTGCTTATAGATGCAACGTCAGCACCAACATACACCACACTACCCAGTTATATGACGTTGGCTTGAAGGGTCAGCCCAGGCAATATATTAGGCCCAGAATAAGACCCAGTCTCAATGTCTATACCATCAAGGGCCGGGATGAAAAGGGGGACAGCAGTAACATAGCCCTTATCAAACGGCCCACACAGCGAGAGCAATGACTGACCGAGTATCAGTTTCCAGCATCCGGTAGCCTATATAATAGCAGCTCACAATGCAATTAATTCATATACAGTAATTAGGTCCGCCTGTGGACCCAAATGTGTATTTGTGTCGGTCTCTCTTCTGATTCTGCCTGGATCATGTAGCTTAACTAGGGTGGATTACAGTCTATGTGGACACTTTCTATTCTCGGACTCCTGATCGTTTTCCAAAAAGGAAGGAGAAACAGAGACACGAACAAGACTCTCATTGACCTCTCACTCTCAAACACAGATCGCCCTAAACCCGACCTACCAAACTTAAACCTCCTTTAGAGGAGTATATTCAACTTCTCGGCAAAGTGAAGAAAATCACGCCATATCCAGCAGATAACCCAACTGCCTTAAGCGGTCCCAACCGACATGATGGCATACCGATCTCCACACAGGAAGCATCTTTGTAGAAGTCCCCTGGACGGACCAGCTAAAGTACAATAACCTGATTCGAGAGTAGTACAATACTATTGGTTTCTTATTTATGCAAGCTCTGTAGCCCCGTCTCCTAGACTCCACTAGAGACATGCCAAGTGGGCTAGGTAGTACTGCAGCTTTCAGCCAACTCTGAAGAATGGACAGTGAAGACAGGAAAAGGAAGCGGTTCTTTGAACAATGGTCACTTAGATAAAAGCTTACTTGACTTCATGGCCGCTGAGCTGTATCAAGCCTAGAGAACAGGAGAAACCGCCGAGGAGATATTCTGTCATCTCAGCGAGTAGCTCAGCGAGTAGCGAGGGTATACTTGCTCTTGTGGAAACTTTACTTTATCTTAGCTAGAAGGATCTTGGCTACAAAGCAGAGGGCCTTTCCTTTTACCTACGGAAGTATGCTGGCATAGCGCACATCAGAGCTCGAGAACTATCAAGGGCGAAACAACATGTGAATTGTCAAGGAACTCCGAACTCCGTACTCGACATAGATGCAAGTCGGTTTCACTGAGTTGTGGCCTCGCCAAGACAATTTCCCGAGCAAGATGCTCTCCGAATACGATACTCCAAAGCATAGCCTAATCCAACCCTTAGCCACATCCAGAGCATACGGCCATGTCCGGATAATTGAATTGCCCAAACTTGGTACAAGCCCCGGAGCCAAATAGGCGACCGGAAGCCAAGAAATTCTCCCCTATTTGCCCATCGTACCTCGACAAGCAACTTCCTATTGCTGTCAGACCTTCCTACTATACTTGAAGTACACCGATCAGTGGACCCTGTACGTTCCTCGTCATCCTACATTTTGACCTGCCTATCCTGGCTAAAGTGGGACGGCCGTTCCTTGTGTGGCTGAGGCCGGAGCACAATGCAACATAAGAAATAGGAGATGACAAGTCAACGGCCAGACCTTTCATAGCAATGGGGCTCTCGTTTTCCGGAAGTAAGCCATGCCTTTTGTGCTCCCTGGTCGCCAAGTTAAAGTTTGAATCGAAGCCATGTCTCATATCTCATAGAGCAAGAAAAAAAGTAGTATTGAATTATGTTGATATGTCGATGTGTCAATATGTTAATATGTTCATGTGAATGCTCGCTTGAGTAACGCTTGCCCGAATGCAAATACATCGCCGCCCCCTGATCCACACTGTAAATGCTCAAAATAGAGGCAAAATCAAATCAAAATCATTATTCCGGGTATCACTCCACCATACCAATTCTCCACGAAAAGATGTATATACCAGACGTCTCACATTAAGAGAAGATGCCCAATGGGAGGGTCATAGCCACTTCGAAGTTGGGCACATTAACCACCTCTGCAATTTGCAGATCACCAGCAACACTGGCAAGAATGTATGCCTCGCTGCGAGTAAGACCCTTAGTCTGAACCAGCCACTGAATTAGGTTCCGAGTAGCACTGCGGGTAGCCTCATACAGATCGGGAGCAACACCAAGAGCGCCGTAGGTTCCAAGGTCGGGGAGGGGGTTGGGTATTTGCGCCCGAGGCGGAGTCTGGAACTGGGGTGCGGTCATCCAGGGCTGGTTCTTGATGAGCTCGAAGCGGAGCGTCGCCCGGATGGGGGGTTTCGATTGCGGTGCCGCAGACCTCGCCGTGGCCCTGTGCAGCGTGGCCGTCGCCACAGCTGAACAGTGCACCGGCCGTCTGGACGGGGAGGTAGACGGTCGAGCCGACGCTCAGCTCGCGGCAGTCCATGTTGCCGCCGGCGTTGGTGGGGGGAACGGTGGAGAGCTCTTCATCGCCGGCTGGGGCGAGGCCCATGCAGCCGAGAAAGGGGCGGAGGGGGATGCGCATGTTCTTGAACTGAGCGAAGCCTGCTTCGCGGTTCAGCGACCAGATCTTGATCTCTGGTTCTGGGAATTCGTCTGCCAGCAGTCCGAAGCCCGGGATGATGGCGGACCAGCCCCAGTCGGCGACTTCGAGGTTTAGGACTTCGACTTTGAGGACGTCGCCGGGTTGGGCCTCGTTTATGTAGATCGGGCCGAAGACTGGGTTGGCGAGGCCTAGATCCAGGGAGCTGATGGCTGAGGCCTGGGATGTTGTATCGAGTTGGCCATTGCTGCTATCGATGGCGTCGAAGGAGACGGTCTCGCCTGAGGAGACGGTCAATTTGGGAGTGTTCTTTCGAGACCACTTCTGGTGGCCACACTCTCTTCCCACGTGGAAGTTGCTCCATTGCTTGGGTGCCATGCTGCAAACCTGAGACGGGGTCCGGTTTTGAGCGAGAATCATTTAAAGATGTGGGCAATGGCGGATATAAATGGATGGACCCAAAAAATGAAACGAAAAATCCGTGGAATGATGGATGATACGGCAATTATGTATGATCAGATTCTCTTCAGGGTTGACCCTTCTGGAAGGTGGCTAGGGCCCGAATGGTATGCCTTTTAGGGTCCACATGTGCGAGACTCAAATCGCCTGCCTAAAGGAGATTGACAGGTTTCCAGCAAATTGGGTCAACCCCTGCCAAAGCTGGGGCTCAGATCTATTGAAGGCAAAAGGGCGGCAGTAAGCGACGTCGTTTATCTGCCTCTGAAGGGAGATAACCTTGTGGAGCGGGGGGTTACGGAAAAGCCGGTTCCTAGTTTAAATTTAAATGTATAATGACCACAGCACCGGAAATGGCAAAGCCAAAATTAAAAAACTGGATATCTCGGAGGTATACGAAACGCCACATCACAACGGGTCTTCATTTGTCTTCATTTATGGGACCAAAAATGAGATCCCTAGAACAGCAATAACACCGAAGGCCTCAGACCCAATAGAATGTCGTCAAACAGCCAAAACCTGACTACAACCACCTTCTTAATCGGGTAAGGAGTGAACCGTGGAACGGGTCATGCATAACACAATTTGCTCTCCGGCGCTTGTCCTGTTTAGGTAGTTGCATATTACAAACGATCTCATAGATCTTAACCCTCTATCACGACCCTTGGCCATCCAATATCGCTACAATACACGACGCATTGTCACTATGTCGATGGTCTGCGCAATTGGTGGCGATGTCTTTTGCGATCTCACTGGCTCTTTTTCCCCGCATTGATAATTTCATCACGTGCTGTACCAGATTGGCGTCCTCCACTTGGTCGCTTACACCGTCTGATACCAGCAGCAGTAAGTATCGGCGGTTCGAGTGCAACATCCGTCGGGAGGTGTAGGGTTCATTGGATAGGAAGTTGCCCCGTGATTCCGACCGGCTCGATCCTGAAGAGGCGGGGTCTGGCACCGGATCAGAGGTGTTGACCGGGTTCTTGTACTGCAGGTCGCCCAGTGCCCGGGACATGTTCAAATCACCTATCCCTGGGTCAGTGTTGTTATTTGCACTGGCGTCAAACATACCAAGACGTGGCGTCCCACTCCGGTTGGTGACTGTCCCGCCTGCTTCTTCGATACGAGCTTTTTCGCTGGGCACCTCGGGCTTGTGAGTCTCTGTGAGACGCCGCTACTGCCGCGGTTAGCTCTCTTCGAATCACCTTCGCTATCGGGGATAGTGCGTACAATGTGATACGGATACTCTGTTTTTGGGTCTCGCTCCGCCAGGATAACATGGGAGTCCCCCAGATTGGACACAAGCAGCTCGCCAACGGTGAGATTAATGCAACACACTGCCACTGTGGATCCTGACAAGGCAGGCTCGATGGATTCGCGCGTGAATCGGTCGAGTAGAATGCTGTCTTCTTCCTCCAGTGCTGCCTTGATGGCTGCCGTCCACTCTCCTCGTTCGAATTCCGGGCGTTTGGCAAGCAGATGATGCAGGGTTTGACTGACTTGATCTGAAACGAGCCCGGAACCACTGAGCACAGTGGTCAGGTTTAGACGGTGATAGAGGCCCGAGGATTTTCTTACTGTCCGTCATAGATTGCAAAGAATGCAATCTTGTCCTCCACTTTCGAGGGAAATTGTTCCGGAAAAGCCACCACGCATCGATCCTCCTGAAGCGGCCTACTTCCTTGCGCCTGCGACTGTTCAGTATGATTGTGCAAAGCCTTCACCAGGATATTTGGATACCCACTTGACCAACCCCTACATCAAACAGGGTAACCGCATCGGAGGTAGACATGGTCTTGTTCAGGGTCATTTGGTCCCTCAAAGCCCTGTGAGATAAGACCATGTTCGAGTAGAGATCGTGCTGTGTATCATTGAGAAGTCATATACAGGGTCTAGTGAAATCTGGGGAATGATGATGACCTGACATCATGAGCATTATCGCCTCCTTATGCTTAATTTATCTTGATATCTAGATACATAATTGGTGGCCTCAAACTCTTCCGGAGTCTATTCCTTCCCCAGACAAGCCACATGGGCCCTGGATTAACTTGAATGGAACAGTCCGTATTGGGTACAGTGTCTCGTGCTTAGTACATGGTTTAGATTTTATTGCCTACATATTCTCGCGTCAACATCATGTTTTAAATTGATGAACGCGTAAGCTGCTAGTAACGAACTCCATGCTTGGCTTCTGAACCCTGAATGCCTGCATAGATCTGATCTGGTCGATACGGCGCACGGACCACATTTTTCGGCGAATCTGCAGAACAGTGATTCTAAGCATTCTCTTAGCTCACATATCTTGCAGCTTTCGTGTACTTCTCACTCGGTTCGGTATGGGCTGGGTAGGAGCAGGTGTACTCATTGCAACAACTGTATATTTCCTCTATTGCTATCCTCCTCGCAGCTGGACGGAGCCCCGTCCTCTCGCCCCTCCGGAACCCAAACCCGAAGCGACGGATACCATTTCCACCGCCGACGAGCCTGTACCGGGAAAGCATGGCCCAGGGCCTTCAACACCAGGAGTAGAAACAGAGGAGGAGGATTCCCAAAGCACACCCAAGGCGTCGGCTTCAAGCGCACCACCCCCGGTCCTCGCGGTCCCCACGCTCAGCCTGGATAGCGGTGACAGCGAAACATCCAACCCGACAATGCCATCCATTTCGCAGTTCCTACGAGGAACCGGGCAGTCTAAGCCAACAGATCGTGATAATGCGGCACCAAAGCCCAAGCCGCCACAGCCACCATCCCTCGCTCCTCCGCAACAACCATCAACAACGGGTGGCTCCCTAATGCCACCACCTCCACCCCCAGGCCCTAGACCCCGACCATCCCAAGCAAACAGCCTCTCCCCGCCAAGTACCCTGCAACCCCCACGTCTCAGCTCAGGCAGCTCACTCAGCCCGCCCCCATCAGCAGCAGCCTCACAACGCGGACCCCCAAACAGCAGCAGCCGCCTAAGCAGCAGCACCCTAGCCCCGACACCAGTGACACTGAAGAAACCCAACTCGAAGAAAGTAATCCTCGAGCCAGGGTTCTCCCCCTTGGACTGGGCCGCCCTGACCTCAAACCCGAACAACAACCTCCGCGGCAAAGATGTACCACCGGGTCTGCTCCGCGTTACACCGTCCATGCTGAAAGAGCAACATGGGCGCAAGGGTCGGGATGCGTGGACCTCGTACCATGGCAAAGTATATAATATCTCTCCGTACGCGCCCTACCACCCAGGTGGTAAGGGCGAGCTCCTCCGCGGTGCGGGGAAGGACTCTGCGAAGCTATTCCAGGAGATTCACCCGTGGGTTAACTGGGAAGGGATTCTCGGCGAGTGTCTGATTGGGATATTGGTGTCGGAGAATGCTCTCCATGCCGAGAATACCTTGGATGCCATGGATTGAGATGTCCTGGATTTTCCCCCCTTTCCTTCTTTTGACTTGACCTGTACAGTGTACATTTAGACGAGATACCCTCCTGCTTATAGAGGCATAGCATAATCTATATGATACCATATACTGGCATACATTCTCTGAGGAAGTATAAATAAATAATCTCATCCAATAACATTAAATGTCAAGGTATTAACAAGGTAGCAGCAGATAGTGCCCTTTACAGCTCGTCCTTATCAACACCCTCAATAGCAACCAACTCAGTCTCAAAGACCAATGTCGCACCACCGGGGATAGGGCCAATACCACGGTCGCCGTAGCCGTACTCGGGGGGAATAGTCAGCGTGCGCTTCTCACCAATGCACATATCCAACAAGCCCTGGTCCCATCTAAACAGGAAAAAGTACACATTAGCATGATGTATTTCCAAAACAATCATATTCATGGTCATGGCAGATCAAATCCAAAACGACATCCAAACATACCCCTTAATAACACGACCAGTACCAAGCTTGAAAGTCAATGGCGCATGGCGATTATAGCTGGAGTCGAATTCCGAGCCGTCGGATTGTAGGGTTCCGCGGTAGTGCATGGAGACACCGTCGCCCTTGACGGTCTTGCGGGTGCATTCGACTGCGTGGGTTGTTTCGATGCCGAGCTCGGCGGCGGCGGCGAGGGAGCTTAGAGCTGCGACGAGGATGGAGGTGAGACGCATTTTTGGTGGTGATTGGGTTGAATTGGATTGGGAGGGGAGGTGGAGGTGGAGGGATTGAGGACAGATTGGGCGTTGGACCTCGGGAGGATTAGCGTTGGTCTGTGCTTGGTGGAACTATAAAATATAAAAAAAAGTTGAGATGGAATGAAGGGAATTGTTTCTTTGTTGCTTATTAGGATATTGACATAGGCCTATTTTTCCGATATTGGTTTTTGATCAGGATTGGAGATTTCAGGAAGGGTCGTGACTCTGAAATTATGACCTTAAATCCATCCATGCTTCCTAGTCCAACCCTTGTACCCTCTGATCCTCAAGACCATAACGGGTACATAGCTTGATCAGACCAACCTAGCCCTTAGTAAACTGCGGAGCAGCAATAGCCTCACCAGAACCACGGCCCTGATCAGCCATCGCCTTCAAATCGTCCTCCCCCATATCCCCATCCCAACCCATAGAAACAAGATAAGCACGAAAGTTCTCATCCCGAACCCTGAGATCCTCCCCGGACAAGTCCGGCACAAAAACCCAAGTAACAATAACCCCAACAACCCCGCAAATAGCAGCAATAATAAAAGTCCACTTATTCCCCAAGTGATTCTTAATAGGCAAGAAAGCCTGCGTCCCAAGAGCAGCCCCAGCCTTCCCAATAGCCGCCGAAAGCCCATAGCAAGTGCCGCGCACACCAGTGGCATAAGACTCAGATGAGATGAGACCTAGCATATTCCCCGGCCCGAAGTTCCCCGAATTCTGCATGAGTCCGTAGAAAACGACGAAGAGTGGGACGATCTTCGTCACGCGGTCGTAGGCGCAGCCGATTATTAGACCGAAGATTAGATATCCGCTGAAGCCGATCATCATTATTTGTTTGCGGCCGAGGCGGTCGCAGAGGAGCGCGCCGAAGAATACGCCGGGCAGGGAAATTGCTCCGAGTAGGAGTTGCCATTCGCCTGTTTGGAGGATTGTGCCGTTGTGGACGACGCTGGAGATTATTGTGCCGGAGAAGACGCCGTTTGGGAAAGTGACGAAGTCTGGGGTTTGGTATGTTAGTAGGTTGTACTTTGTAGAAAGGGTAGATGTATATGTGTAGGGGTTTCTGTTTTTACCATAGAGGAACCAGGCTCCACATGTCCCAATCAATGATCTCCAGTAGTATCGTAGCACGAGTTTGTAGGGAACATGTCTCTTGATTGCGCCACGGCGGTAGAGAACGGAGTTCAGCATGCGGATTCGGAAGTAGAAGATCGACAATGGCCAGACGCATCCAATGCCGAAACATACTCGCCAGACGGTGCTGTAGTGTGTCTGGCTACAGGCGCAGAGTACAATTAGGAAGATTGACACGGCGAAAGGTCCTCCGAATGATAAGGGGAAGTTGGTGACCATGATGAAGGCCGGGCCTCGGCGTTTGGGCATGAGATCATTTGCTGCTTCTGAGGCCGCGGTTGAGGAGGCGGGATACTCGCCACCGGCTCCTGATGTGGAGGTTAGTATAGAGTATATAATATAGTGTATCTTTCGGCGTGTTGGGTCTTGGGATATATGATTGATAGTGGAAATGCATTTAGGGTTCACGTACCAAACCCGACAACGCCGCGCGCAACGGTCATCATCCAGAACATGCCATTGATAGTCACGCCGTGTGAGGCTGTAGCAAGGATTCCTCCAATGACGATCATAAGGGTAGTGAAGACGATGGCGGTCTTGCGGCCCAGGTAGTCGCATGTCAGTCTGGATATTAGTTTGTTAGATCCCAACATTATCAGATTGGAAGTACGGTTCTTACCCAATGACGACTTGTCCGAGAACTTCGCCGACGAGCAGTGCATTAGACACACGTGTGCTGACGACGGTGGTGTACTCCTTTGGGTATTCAGCTTTGAGGAGGACATTGGTCATGGTCCTGTGGTTGTAGGTCAGAGTTGTGATCCAGTCTTGACAGACGAACGCACTCAACTTACATCAGGTTGTTCTGATATCCATCACTGATCAGAGCAAAGCCACAGGCAAACTAGTGGCAGGTCATTTTGGTTAGTTGACCACGAGGACAGGGAATGTAACTTTCAGCTGCGCTGGTTGAGATGGTGCACTCACGATGGTAAACAAGTCCGAGAGACTCTGTCTCTTCTTCGAAACGTCTTTCGAGGGACCGTCTCTCGCGATAGCCAGGCTCTCAGTTGAGATGCACTCTCGTCCATAGTGCACTGGGAGCGCGGTCAAGTCACGCTCGGAAATAACTAGCTCGGAAGCCATTTTGGTAGCCCACAGACGTGATCTTGAGCAAGGGTTGATGGAAGGTCGGAAGAGAGTGGACGTTCGAGGGGAAAGTAGCACAGCTGCAGTCAGATTCGAAAGTTATTTCAGTGCAACCAGTCAATGGCCAGGTCGACTTGCACTGGGGAACCTCACCCTCCTGTCTTTTGAGTCAGCCCTATGGGGCAAGTGAGTTAAGCTCGGACAAGAAAGCTAAGCATCAAGGCTTCGGTAATTGCCGGCTTGGAGATATTCTTCCCCTTCTAGACGTTTGAACGTCAGTCACATGTCCCTGACGAGATTGCCGACATGCACGTGGATATATATCGAGGATTATCTATTGCAGATTCGGTTGTCTGTGGCTACTCACTTATTTGATAATTTGAAAACATCCTTCCATAGCCTTCTAGTCTATTGAATTTGAGATAGGTAGATACAGCCGCTAAAATAACGCCGACATGTACATAGCTCGGATCCCGTGGGTATCACATATGTTGAAAAAAAGCACGCATCCATAAAGCAATATAGAAAAAAAGACAGGGACATGACTCATTATTGCAAATAGATTCCAGGACTTTCGCTTGCTGAATCAAGTCTCTAAGCCCACTTGCCCAGCAGGGCCATGAGGGCAGCACCGGCACACAGCAGGCCGAACGCAATAAGCACATCACGGATAGGAGCCTTGCGCATGGAAGTGCTGAACATGAACTCGTGCGCCATCAGCTCGACAAGGGCAGTATAGATCAGAATGCCAGCAGATATAGAGTCGAAGACACCGTTGACAATGAGGGTGGTTCGTCCTTCTGGCGGGTAGCTCTTTCGAACACCGAGGCCAATGGCAATGGCAATGGGGGTCGAGATACCGAAGGCCAAGCCCAGGATGTAGGGGGTGAGGCGCTTTGACTTGGGCCACGGGACAGTGGCCAGACGGGAACCAAGACCAAGACCTTCGAAGGTCTGATGGAAGACAAGGACGATGTAAAGTGTAGTGAATTCGGCTCCAGACACTGCAAGAGTGAGGCCAATGAAGATAGAGTGGAAGATAATGCCGAATTCCAGTATGAATATCGAAGTGAGTTGAGCGGTATAGTCCTCGACTGCCTGGGGGCCCTTTTCGGAGTCGCTGTCGTGATGCTCGCGACCGTGGCCGAGGTGGTCTTCTCCGACGAAGTGGTTCTTGTTCTCACCAACTTCGCTGACAGTAGGCTCTTCGATCTGGATGTGAGAGTGGCCCTCTTCGTCGTGCACATGGCCTTGACCGAAGCTAGAGTAGCGCATAACCATCAACTCGACAAAGAACAGCACAATGATAGTCATAAGAACAATGCCCTCGACCCAGCTGTATTCGGTGATGGGGCCGGTCAGACACTCGTTTGTCAGAGCCTCCTCGGCCGGAGCCAAGAGGTGAATGAAGGCAGTTGCGATGATGACACCGGATCCAAAATACTTGGCGATGAAAAAACACCACTTGGGGAACCCGCCATCCTTGCCAAAGCGGCGGGCGAATACAGGGAATACAGCTCCGAACATGGAGCCAACCATGATCACAAAGATGGAAGAGATGCGCAGTCCCATGCGGCCGTCAAATTCATTGCCAGGGTCACAGGCATCTGCCCGCTTGAGAAGAACAGAATCCATCACGATTGAGATAGAAGAAAATAGGCTGAAACAGATAAGAGGGGACCAAAAAACCACGGAAGGCTGCAGGAAGAAGGCAAAGCGATGATCGCAAAGGAAAACGCCGGAGGATTGTAGAACAATGTCGTGGAACTCTGTGGGAGATTGTCACCCGCAAGGTCCTCGATAGTAGGCGAGATGCGTCGGTTAGGGACACGCAAGAAACAACCAGGTTATCCTGACAATTCTGAACTTTGAACTGCGCTCTATCGTACGATTGGACAATCAAGAGGGAGCATGCAACATGAGTTTCCCCTTCTGGCGGCGCACGTCTGGGTCGGTCAAGAAACGTTCAAAAGAAGCCCTAAAGGTTTCTCTTGATATCGAAAGCCTGAAGCCGGAAGATTCACCCGCAGATAGTTGAAACCAGACAAGATCAGAATTTGCGGGATCAGTTATAATTTCCGGCGGGGGGAAGAGTGGGATCCATGGGGACCTTGGGAGACTCGAAGACGTCAAGACGGAGTTTTGCGCCTGGTGGCTGGTACAAGGTACCTATGGATCCATATAAATTTGTGTGTGGAAGGGAGTACCTGGTACTTGAGTGAGGACCTTGGGGACGCATCAGTAATCTCTTTCCGGTCGCGGTGGTTGGCCAGGTCACGTGGGCGAAATAGTAGGACCTCCAGCTTACTGTCCATGTTGAGGATATCGTTTATATCCTTTATAGGCATGGTTCCTCAGATCGATGGATCAGGTACACAAAGACATGGAAGATGAGGAGAGGAGGTTTGTATCCCTGGGATGGGCGTTTCCATCGCCAATCAGATACTCGGCGGCAAAATGCTTGGCGTTGGCCTGAGGTCATCGACAGCTTCAACTTCATCCTAGCAACATGGCTCCCATACGGCGATACTTGCGCATCAGCAAATACTCAGTCTTGGAGTGTCGAATCTATCTGGACTCTCCATCGGACTCACGATGGCTCTTGAACTCTCGTGATCCTGTCCTTCCGCGCGTCTTCGAGGCCATCCGGCCGTTGGTCCTGCCCAAGCTGCGCGAAGAGAATGAGCGACTCTTTATGCGCAAGAAGGGCAAACCAGTCAAGGATGTTATTGCAGAAGGTGAAGTTGAGAGGTGTTTATTATATGCGGTGAACTTGCTAATGCTTGCCTAGATGAGTTCGAAGTCGCCATTTTCCTCCGCGAATCACGCACTCGTCATTCCCTCCTCACGCGTAATAAGACGTTTCATGGGAACGATCAAATTAACATCAAGCCAGAAGATGGCGAGGGGATAATCAATCCAGGCTCGACAGAGGATGAAATCATGATTGAAAGCGATAGTGAGGTCGATGGATTGCACTATATACCCGGAGCGGACGAAGCAACGGAGAATGCACCAGAGAGAAGAACTCGGAAAATGGCAGGGAAGCAAGATGGCGATGTGAGCAGCGAAGAGAAGAAGCTTCGCTTCAACACTCACTACGAAAGCTTCAATATCTGCAGTTGGGTGTTGTGTCTATTAATCACCCGCAAAGGCGACAAGACCAAGCCGAGCGCTGAAGCAAAGCAACCTCTGATGGAGGAGTGGATCTCAACTCAAGCTCAGACATCTCTTGACGAGGATTGAGGTACTCCTTCGATAGTGGGCCCATGCCCAAGACTGAGTAGGATCCGGCAAAGCTTTCCTACCTCGAACAGCGGGCAGCCGTGGTGGCGTGATCAACATCCTGTGATACATGTCAAGATTAGTGTTGCAGAGTGTTTCAACTCCCTGCAAACGCTACGAATCTCTGCAATTACAGTGTTGAAACCAGGTCTTATGTATATGTCACACGGTACCTTGACGATCCAAGCAAGACCTACAGGGCTGGTGTGACTTGGGAGTACATACAGCACGGGTCATTGCAGGACTTGCTATGTAATGCTTTGAGCATTGCGGTGTAACGGTAACCGAAGCTTGGGGTTACGCAGGTGGCTGGTCTTACAGGCATGGAGCTCGCACAAGGCCGCTGAGACTAAAATGTCAGCCACAGCTGTTTGAGCAGGTTGCACCAGTGACATTTCGATGATCTGCATGGCACAAAAACATGGGATTATTTTGACTTAGGTTTGCATCTCTCGGTTGCAAACAACAGATAGGTTTCAAATGTCCACAAATGTCCCGTTTCGATTCCACCCAGTCTACATGTGGTTTGGGCTCCCCAACCTCGGCCCGCTATTCCAGAAGGCGAACTAGAAGATTTTCAAGTGGAGCGCAACATGAAACATTCGGTTTTCTTTGGTCCCATGACCCTAGCAGACACCTTCTCAATAGAGATTTCCCAATGTGCCGGGCTCCGAAGATTCAGATAAAATGTGGCAGAAATCTTGATATATTCTCACCGATCTATATGCAATAGTACAAACTAGTATATAACTATATGTATACCTTGCCAGTCCATTATCCAATCAGCAAAGCCAGAAACAGGCGATCGCACAGAGTACAATACTCAAATCCCGATCTGTCCGAAATCCTGCTCTCAAAATCTCCGACTCCACGCTTTATTCCAACGGTTCGGAACGGTGAGATGTAGTCTCCTTCCAAGTGGAGCGGTCTTAACTCAACTAGGCATTATTGAAGTTTGCTCGCCGCTAGTTAGAGTTTTCCATGCCATGTGTCCCGTTTTTCCTCCTTTCCTCCTTTTCTCGGTTCCCCCGGCCTTAGTTCAGGTACACCCGTGTGGTCGCATAAGTGTTTGCCACTCCCCCACTTTACTTCTCGTACGGGAAGTTAGGGTGAACGGGAGTCTGCGAATTAGTAATTGTTCCTACCTGCTTCTTTGAGCGCAAGTCCCGGACTCGTTCCTTGGACCCTGGTATTCTGCATGTGTACACGGGTCATGTGGACATGCAGAAATCTCTCTGCCTGAGAGACAGGAAAGACCGGATGTAACATGTAACCACCACATGTACAATTAGTACATGTACACGTATGCATTTAGGCCATAATTTCCGGGGAGGAGACCCAATATCCCGAAGCTGGGGATATTTCTTCAGTGTGTACGCAGTTGGTCTATGTAAGATGAGGGTTACAGTGAGCACGCCATCCGCGCCACATCAGGGATCAGGCAGATCTCCTGAAAACAGTGATGTGCAGGGCAAATCAATACTGTATTCCAACTAGCCAATAAGGGGTTGTTGAGGACAGAGGCCCCATATTCTCCAGATGTGCGATGTTGCTTCAAAATAATGATGCGCAATGCACAGTCCTCTGCAGTGAGACGATCGTCTTTTCTGCACACTAATGTTTACCGGGTTTGGTCGGTTATGTACTCCGTACGATAGGTCAAACGGCTGAAAATTGGTCTTATTACAATTTGTTATTAGGAGGTTATCTGGAAGATAAGGAGATCGCTTGAATCGGTCAACATTACTCCGTACCAACTTACAATTACAAGGGTTTCTATTCTTGCATATGTCTTAAACTTCATCTGGTAGCACGGGTAAGAACCACGGTACCTGATGGGTCCTTACTGTCAAACGCCCTGAAACTGTGTGGCGATGCCTATACCTGATTTAAGATCGTTCGAACGTCAACAGTATGCAACAGGGGCCTTATCCTATGCTCGGTGTTCTAGGATCTCGGCTTTCACGCCCTTTTTACATGTAATTAATACGAATCGGCCGTCCCGTTTGGCCCTAATCGATTACGGTCCCCCATATTTTCTTTTCCTTTTTTCCTTTTTTTACTTTCCTGGTTTCTCGGGGATCTGCAAACATGCACGTGTCTATTTACCGGGGATACGGATACTTGGTATACGCCCGGGTGCCAGGTGTACATGTAGATTGTTGAGTCATAAGTTAACCTGCATGTGCTTTGACCTTCTTCACGTATTATTATATTATTCGAGAGATAATCAAAATAATCAAAAAAGAAAACAGTCGTTCTCACCGCATCAAGGAACCGTCCCTATGGAGCCAGGGGTGGGCCCACGGGAGATTGCCCTTTACTAGTTGTCATCTCGCGTGGTTTCATGATTTACAGTATAGCGAGGGAGTTGTGAAACCTGCGTAGGGAAATGCTGCAGAGACACTCTGCAAGTCACCAGAAACAACATCTTTATGTAAATGGGTAGTACGGTCGGTCTGTCGTGTTTCATTTCTTTCCTCCACTGGTGGCTCACAAGTAAACGACGCCACTAGTGGAGATCTTCTAGAAAAAAAGGAATTTCCATTGAATTTCCCCTTGGGGGGTAATATTTGTAAATCGCAATAAATTCCTACGTCAGATCAAGTGGATACTCAGCCTCCTGTTCATGGTAGGGATGTTCGAGGAGAACTAATTTAGCCGTGGAAAGGTCGGATCGACTATAAGAATCCGCGTGCTCCTGTAAACTTATTTTTTTCTTCCTTCAACTTCAAAGCTATACGTTAAGTATTCTGCTCTCTACACTAGCACACATCACTGCTACTACCACTTCTACAACCTCTCCTACCACTACCTATACCACTACCTATTTCTCCTTTCACAATGCCTTCCGTCGGCTCTACTCAGTTCCCTCCATGCCCCGGCCCTCCTCCTAAGGGCCCTCTGCCTCCTTTGCCGAAATAAACAGTCCCACTTCAACGAACCTGACGACCCTGGCGCATACACATGCGCTCACGACCTGGACTCCCCTCGGCATGGATATCACGACTTCGACCTCGACCCAGTTTCGACTCTATTTTTCAACTCGGACATTGAACACCTAATTCCAAAGTCCCACAAGTTTCCGTCTCGCATATACAACACACAAAGAGCGCTGGCTTTCCCAACCGTTTCGCATCTTGGCATGGCTATGCGCGTGAGAGCGGGAAACTTGTCCCAACCCTCGGACTACAACACTTCTTTCTCATTCTGGGGCCATTCCCCACCTTCGGTTTCACTTCTCGCTATTTTACCAGCATCCTCGTTCGCTATGGAGACTGGCGCCGGCGCTAAACTCCCAACTCGCATCAATAGCCTTTCTTTCTATTTCTTGCTTTGTTGATTCCCTCCCTGTGCGGGGTTTTGTTTCAGCTGTTCGGTCGAGCATGACGCGCAGATGCGGAGAAATATGCATCTCAATTGGACAATGCGCTATGCGTCTTGCACAGTCCCCTGTCAGGATTAGCGGCACTTCGATCGTCCCGTCTATGCGTCATCGATCGGATGTTCAGCTCTTTTCTCTTTTTATCTTTTCTTTCTTTCATGTGTCGCGATTACTGGTCGTGACTGTTTCCGAACGTCCTTTTAATCCTGTTCCTTTCCGTCGTTTTTCTTTTTTTCTCTCTTTCTGCATCTGGCCGCAATCTGAATCACCGGCATGTATCATAGACCTAGTATACCCAACAGAGCAATTCGTCTTTTTCTTCTATTTATTTATTTATTTATTTCCATTTATTTCTGACAGGTGGTATGTCGTGCATAAACAAGGCTGGGTGAAACACCTACCCGTTTCACCCATCATCAATCTGACCATGACTAGTAACGCTAGCGGGGATGACAGGCTGGCGGGTGTCGCGGTAGTGGGATTGACGCAAGTCAGTAAGAGAACAGGGATGTAGATTGAGCCGATAAAAAAAGCCCATTTTTGATCCAAAGCGGAGGTGGCACCGATCTGACATCGTTATCGAGCCCGTTACTAGTACGGAGTATGATGCGTGCATCTTACATTTACGCTTACTGTGGCATGTCCGGGATTGATTGGACTATATTTCATGAAACCCGTACGGTCCAGTGACTATCTAGCATATTGCATGCAAAACTACTAGCACTAGTACGTCCTACACAGAGCTACAGCATATGTACCTGCCTAAGAAAAGGGCAGACACATATTACAGTAAATTAATAAATACAATAATGGCCAAATGACCAAGAAAAAAGCAAAAGAAAAGAATGAAAGCGAGATACGAGTTTGGGCCCGTCCGAGCGCATTTCCGGGATTTGGCCTGGTTTAGGCCTCCTACACATACTGGAGATGAGACTATTGCAAATAGGAGATCCAGGTAGCTGGGTCCAGCTCTGGTTCTTTGTTCCTACCAATAACGTGGCTCGGTCGAGCTGTTTCTTCCAAGAAAAACTTGACCTATGACCTCGACTTGCAGGCATTCGTAGCCGTTAGCCCCTCACTGATTCTGCATAAATCGAGTTAATCTATATCCAATCGATCCCCCTACCCCTCAACCGCGATATGGTCTTTGTATCCATGGATGTATAGTGTCGAGTGTATTCTTGATTTGTTTCAGAAGTAAGCTTTCGGCCCCAAGGCACTTCACCTTTTGACATCCAAGCAACTTTGACTTTCAGGGGATCCATGGATGTCAATGCTCCAGCTGACCTGGCGCATAGCCACGTGTTACGCCAAATGAGGTCATTTGGGAAATCGCTCTTATCGGGCTCTCTTTTAGTACAGTATATACTCATCGAAGAAGCCGAGGATCATGTCTCAGACCACCCTGTTGCCCGAGAGCCCGGAAAAGGATCAGTCAGTAGGGGGCGTGGCGTCATACTTTTCAGCCAGGCTGTGCTAAGGCTCAATATTGAGGCTCCAAGGCTCTACATAGCCTCCTATTCCGTAATACTACACTTGTACTTCGTGCTAATCTATCTTACTTGTGGACAGTGCACTGTCTGTGTACATGTACACTGCCGGGCTGAGTGAGATTTGGTGCCTACCTAGTCGGGCCAAAAATACTTTAGGTTTCTGGCCGATCTGGCAAATGCTCTTCCTGTGGAAGAAACATCCGATTCGCTATCTCGCTATCTTCCAAGACCTTGTTTCATATCAATGGTTTTGATTTGATATTGCTTGAAATAGGAAGTAATGAGTTGATTATCATTGCTTGATGCATATATATTGTGGTGGCTGCCTAGCCCGTAAGCACATTCAGCCACTTGTCCCGAGGTTAAGGAGCTGGAACTGACTAAACCATGTCATATTTTGTGATTTAGGAGGGGTGACGACTTCTGGCTTGGTACGTACAGAACACTCGAGCCAAGAACAGAGCTAGGAGAGCAGAACCACCATATTCTTAAAATAGTGTCAAAATAGACAGATAGCAGTAGATATGCTCAAGATGGTGTACAGTGTCAAGCCTCGGTCAACTCTTTATATAGAAACGGGTAAACACACGTGACCGCCCGCCCAAATCAATCACAGCCGGGCCTTCTCCTCCAAGCGCAAAGCCACCATGGTACTACAACTGCATGTATGGGGTCCAGCCTTTTCCCTGCCGTCAATTGACGCGCAATGTCTGGCTGCCATCGCATACTGTTCCGAAGTCCTCCCCAAGGGTTCGTGGGAGCTCATTGCGAGCAGCGATCCCTCTGTGTCCCCAACCGGTAAGTGACGTATCGACAAAAAAGTACCACACCCAGACAGCTAACAATACTGCCTACCAAATAGGTGAGCTCCCCGCTCTCCAGAATGGATCAACCTGGGTGAGCCGGTTCCGCAATATCGTGGACTACCTCCGCCAATACTCCGAGGGAGCATGGAACCTGGATGAGAACCTAGGCGATGTCGAACACGCCGACAGTGTTGCGTGCGCACCCCTCCTACCCTACTCTCTATATCCAAACACAAAACTAATACCTTATCCAGCTTCTCCTCCTTCATCGAATCCCGCGGCCAACCTCTCCTAGACCTCTCCCTATACGTAACCAGCCAAAACTACTACAACAACACGAGCCCAGCCTATGGCGCCCTCCTCCAATGGCCAAACCAATGGATCCTCCCCCCAAAGCTCCACGGCTCCGCAAAATCCCGCACGGAATACCTAGGCCTCTCCTCCCTAGACATCCAAGCAATGGAAGAACAACGCAAACGCGAACACTCCGCCGCGGTAGCCTCAGGCCAAATTCCCAAAAACTTCATCCAGCAACCCCGCGAAACAGTCTCCAAACTCCTCGGCCGCACAGCCCAACATAACCAATTCCGCCTCGAGGCCCTGACAGCCGAGTTCTTCGAACCCCTCGAAGCAATGCTCGCCCGCAAATCTTACCTGCTCCCGGATCAATCCGGTAACCCGTCTAGTCTGGACTGTATCGCGCTGGGATATTTGGCGCTCGCGCTAGTGCCCGAGCTTAACTTCCCCTGGTTGCGCGATGCGATGCGCGCCAAGGCGCCACAGGTGACGGCTTATACGGAGCGCATGCGGAGTCGCTGTTTCGGCGATGTGGATGTGAAGATCGAGCATGCTTTCCAGCCCGTTTCTGTTGGGCCTGAGGCTGAGCTTGCGAAGTTGCCGTGGCGGGCTCCTGAGCGTGTTTCTGTTGCTGCTGTTGGGAGTACGCTCCTCAGTACACTGGCTGATAACACCCCCTTCTTGCGTGAGATTCGTCAGAATAGACGGTTGAAGCAAGCTGTTCAGTCTGATGAGGATTTCTCGCCCGTGCAGAAACATCTTCTGGCACAGTATGCTGATTCTAGTAACAAGGATATGCTTGTTTCTGTTGTTGCCGCTGTGGCTGGTACGGCTGCGCTGGTTGGGTATATGGTTCATGTTGGGTTACTTTCTTTCTCTGGGGGTGGTCATGCCGAAGAAGAAGATGACAAGATCGAGGGTGAAGTCAATCACCTTGATCCTGGGTCTGCGGCGGACTTCCTAGGCGCGTTGTAAAACTCTTGAGGTTAGGTTGTCGATAAACATTTTCAGCGTGCCTGCTCGTCTCTTCTTTCATGTTGGCGGATCGATGTTATTCTTATTTTTAGACCAGGTGGAAGTGAAGATTGTACGATAACATTTCATTCTGTCGTTTTGTCCTTCTTGCTAACTGCGAGAATGAAGGTGAAGGCGTTTTGCTCGTTCTTTCACATGGAATCAAAACCTGGGTCAGCAGACCTGGTCTTTCTACTTGAAATGTGTGATGTTTCCTTTGTTTTCTTTAAAGAGATATGTAAGCATCGGGTTCAGATTCTAATATCCAGGAACCGTTAGAAGATGAAAACAAAAAATAGATAGATATAACCTTTGTCTACAATATACCCCGGCATTCCTCCCAAGCCCTAACCCGATCTAACATTCCCCCCATCTCAGTCTCATTCATGCGCAATGTCTGCAGAAATTCAGTCAAACATTGAGTTTTTATGTTTCTATACTTCTTTCAACTTAAGGTCTAACCATATTTAGATTTCATCGGACAGTATGCAAATCCCATGACGAATATGGATATCTTTTGGATCGGCCTTGTATGCAAGACAGATGTAAAAGCCGAGGGGTGCATATGCACATCAGCTCTGGGGTATGTTTGACTTGGCATTAGATCTACGGGAGGAGGGGTTCGTTTCAGTTGTGTGGACGAACTGGTGTTTGGGCGTTGAATCCTGCAGGATGAAACTATGGTTCCGAGTGACTGGATTGGGTGGATCGTTTTGAACCAAACAGTTACATGAGGTTAGTGTATTACGGGGTACAGGATATTGGCTTGATACCAAATCAAAACAAGGAGATATGTTGGAGGGTACATGTTCTACAATGCAATCTACTCAGGTGGACGGAATGGACAGAAAAAAAAATGATATCAACTCTCAAATCAAATGGTATATGTACAGAGAAGAAGACAATAAGACGCAAACTGTGACCGATATGTATGCGCCCCTCTAACGGAAAAGGAAAAAGAAAAAAAAAAAGGGCATCCGTAGAGGAGCAGCCCGAAGATGAAAAATGTGTGGCCAGGAATAGTTGCGGAGACAAGCGACCCGCGCACGCACACATGTAAACAGACAAGTACACCTTCAGCGTTGAACCATTTGCGCAAGAATAATCAAAACTGTCCTGGGAGATCTAGATGGCTGAAAGGTGTAGCCGCTTAAGAACTCCAGCCCAGGTTGACGACGAGACGGACGGGGCCGGGGGACTGGGCAACAGCCTTGTCCGGCTTGCCCTGGTCGGCGGAGGTGTAGGCGTTGACGACGGAGGTGGCGCCGTTGGTGATGGAGGAACACTTCTCACCGGCGTGGTTGCAAATCTGCATACCGGCGATTTCCATGTTGGCGAGCTGGGCGATGATGCAGGAAACATCCCAGCCGGAGTAGCCGTCGTTCTGGGAGTTGCTCATGTCGAACTCACCCCAGGTGGAGGCATACTGGCCGACGAAGTTGGTGGGCAGACCCTCGCCCTCGGAGGCACCCCATCCACCCTGGGAGTCGTCATCGATGGCGACGAAGATGCTGTGGCCGGGCTCGACGGTGAAGCCGAGAGCAGAGTTGGGGGACCAGAAACCGTTCAGGCCACCGCTGGGACCATACGAGTTCCACATGACGACGGTCCAGGCCTTGGAGTTGTCGTTCTCGAAGCGAATGACGTGCTTGTACTGGCTGGCGACGTCCTCCTCAACGCGGATCATGTTGCTACCCCAGGGGGAGCCGACGTTGCCGATGTAGTCCCAGTCGAGGCTGCCGACACGCTTGCTGGAGGTGGAGGAACCGAAGCCGGAGCGTGAGTACTCGCCGTTGGAGGGGTAGCTGGCCCAGTTGCTGGAGCCGGACGAGGCAGAGCTGGAGGCAACGGGGGTCGGGCTGACGGTGGAGGCGGCCTCGGAGGTGGCCTCGACGATGGCCTCGCTGGTGGGGGATGCAATGGAAGCGGGAGTAGTAGTGGCCTCGGCGGAAGACTCGGAGGACTGGGCACCAGACCACTCGTTGATCCAGGAGACGAGCTGGCCGTCGATGGTAGCGAAGACCTCAGAACCAACATCACGCTTCTCAGCCTCGGGGGAGGGAGTCACAGCAGGGGCCTCAGCCTCGACCTCGGCGACATCGCCGAGGACATCGATATCGAGCTTGGGGTGAGCGTGACGACGGTCGTGGCCGTGAAGACGAGCGACAGCCGACCCAGCGGTCAGCGCCGTCATCAGCAGCATAGAGTTGGAGAAGTGCATATTGTAATGAGTGACTTGAGCGAGAAAAGACGCTCTACAAGATGAAAATTCAAATCAAATGAATGTGTGTGTGAGAGATGGGAAGAAGGAAAGTGGATTGGGGGGGGAGAGGGCGGTCTTATTGTATAACACACAAACGGCTGTGAACCTTACACTAAAATCAGGGGCTGCTGCATGATGATTGGTGTGTACCTGAGTTTGTGGAGCCAGAGTGGAGATTTCCCATTATATGATTGGTTAGCCAGCGGTCCAGACTCTCTGGCTTTGTGTACTTGGTACTTGGCCCTCTAAGGGGTTACGAGTAGTATACAGTAGGAGTATATTCGACATTGTATATTGATATTCTACACGATGTTGGTATGTATATAGACATTGTGTAGATGTAAGTATGTGTAGATTATGTCAAACACGTGTCCATCGGAATGCTGGATGCCAACGTATACTCCGTACGTGCAGTAGAGCCCAATATACACACTTAGCCTGTAGCCAAGTCCAATTTTCCATCGCTTGCCCCCACAGGCCAATCGGGACAATCCGCAGTAAGGATCTCAGTCTTACGAGGCCCAATCTTAAATACGGAGACAGCTCACCACCGACGTGGACATGAACTATACCCACGGTGCAATATCTATCATTCACGCCCAAATGATGAATGTATGGAGAAACTGAACAGTAGTAAATTATAACTCAAGTACCATACCATACAGCACTGTCCCTGTCAATCGGATCCACGGATGTGCACAAACAAGGCCTGGCCGCAGATCAACGGCAGAGATTTGCCCCTACTGTCCTGCCCCTAGTATGGGGCCCCTTGTACAGGTACAACGTAAGGCACCACAATATGTCGTAAGTAACCAACATAGCGCCCAAGCCCTGCTCCACCGACATGACGAATCTCCCACCGGTACGCTCTTGCCGGGGGATTTGTCTCCATCCGTCTCCATAGTGGCACATAACCCTGCCCTCCACTTCAATCCAGGCCTTTAAATTCGCCAGCGCTAGACGAGATGTGAGTCGTTTCATGTGCAATGGAGCATACCGTACCGAGTACCATGATCTGAAAATTTAGCCGCCCAGGTTTGCCCAGTTAATATTTCTTGTGCGGTTCTTGGCATGAACCGGTGTACACAGTACTGTCTAGGTTGGTGGCATCGGGCGTTTCCTGAAACATTAGGGCTTAATCGTGCAGGAACCCGCTCGTCCCTGGCAGATTTACTGCAGGTACAATCCTTGGGTACTTTCCAGGGCTAAAATGACTCTAAACCTGCGATGTGCAGAAAAACTGCTGTAAATAAACAGACCCAAGGGTTTACACGGGAGACGTCCAAGGTTCGGCCAGATCTTCGCGTCCTCTTATTGGTGCTGGGAAATTAAATGCATTGAACCGTTGCAATATCCATGGATGATTTAATGATTCATTTAGATCTTCAAATATATCAAAAGTGATAATCAGTGTGTTCTATAACTACTCTGTACTATCTGTTCTATATATGACTGTGGCTTGATCATAAATAGAATACGGGTTGTTACTATTTACAGACCAGATCACCTCCTGACTAGGCAACATTGAATCTGACACAAGTACGGAGTCACTACACCTCCCTATGGAAAGTGTCCCTGGAAAGGGTTCTTGTAAAGGGTCCCTGAATATGTGGATCTATTCCTATCATTGACCCAAATCAACGCCACCCTGGAACGCCTCGCCGCCAGCCTCCGCATCCAACTTCAGACTCTCATCCAACCCACAAACCCGGAACAACATCTGCGGCGTAATCTCCTCACTCAACCCCGGCAACCCATCCTCCCTCAACTTCGCCAGGCCCTCACGCATAGCCACAAGCGCCGGGCCAAGCGTGGCAAACGGAAAGATAATAATCCGGAACCCAATCTCCTTGGCCTCCCTCGCAGAAATCGAAGGCGTGGCCCCATGCTCAACCATATTCAACACCAAGGGCCAAGGCGCCAGATCCCTCACAGCCTGCTTCGCCATCTCCCGCGATGAAATCCCCTCGAGGAATCCCACATCCGCACCCGCATCCCGCGCCGCCCGCAGTCGCGCTACACTCTCTTCATACCCGTACTGCTGCAACGCATCCGTCCGCGCAATGACAACAATATCACTGCCGAGTCGGTGGCGCGCCTGCACTGCTGCTCGGATGCGGCTTATGTATGTTGCCGTGTCGACCAACTGCTTGCCGGATAAGTGGCCGCAGCGCTTGGTCTGCACTTGGTCTTCGATGTGGAAGGCTGCTACGCCGGACCGGGCGTATTGCTCTGTTGTGCGTGCTACCATTATCGGGCCGCCGTACCCGGTGTCCGCATCGGCGATTAGTGGTGTGCGTGGTGACAGGTTCGCTATCATTTCGGCGTTGGCGCGCATGTCGTTTAGTGTGCAGATTGCTAAGTCTGCTTGGCCGTGGACTGAGGCTGCTGTTCCTGCGCCTGTCTGTGGCGCACTTTGTTAGCTTGGCTGGCTTGGCTTCTGTGGGTGGGTGTGGGTGTGAGGTATGGCGCATACCATGTACAGTGCGTCGAAGCCGGCTGCTAGTGCTAAACGTGCTGACATGCCATCATAGACTCCTGGGGCTACAATGAACCCATTAGGGTCTTGGAGGGTCTTTCGCAGGTTGGTTGCTGCTGATGGGAGAGCCATAGTTTCTTGATATGGATATGTCTGAAACCATGAGATCGAATCTCAGGATTCGAGGACGGTAAGTCTTATATATCACACGTGTGACAAGCTTTTCCATCATTCCTTCTCCACCTCCAACCCCTTTCGGCAGTTCTGCTCTCGATGATGCGCACTCTCCACATGGCCGATACCGGTACTGGTAACCCCACCTATAACATTTGACTCCGGGATACTGCAGTTGACTCGGGATTTACTCGGTGAAGTTGAGCCGTATTTTCAGAAGCCGATTGTTTCGCAAGAGGGTGGTATCTGTGAAGGGGACAGAGAATGCTCCGAGCTCTGAGATGCCGCTCAACCGGTGTCTCACAACTACTAGCAAGTTGAACGAGACGACTTAGAAACACCTCGGAGGAATCAGCTTTCGCGGCAATTCAGGCGGGGTAGTTTGCCTCGTCTCGAGCTAGGACATTAGCTAGGCATGTACGATGTTGATAGCTATGTAGCATTTAGCATTGGGCACACATAGTAGGATGCCTATTGTAGATCAGATAGCCAGTACTAAACAATATATGCATCCATTGCACTCAAAACGAAGTATTTGTACTCGGTAGTTACTAATCAGACATTTATATTGCTGCACATGCATGCGCCCAGATTGCCTTAGTCAGCATCCCAAAGCGGTCCTCAATCTCAACTCCATTCCTTCAATCTCAAATATGAGCTTGAGCTGCAGCTCACACTTTTGTTGACACTTTGTTCTCTTGATCCCTTTGCCATCCCTTCTAGCCTAAATGGCTCGCCCCTCCGTGGTCCAAGAGTACGCACCGCCCTCCGCGCCCACCCTCACCATCGATCAAAAGTCCACGGCCGAGCACCAAAACTACCGAGTCGCTCGCCCCCAAGGCTACCGCGTCTCATGGCACGCCAATCCAGCCGTCGAGGCACACCACTTCGGCCAATCCCACCCAATGAAGCCATGGCGCCTCACCCTCACCAAACAACTAGTCATGGCCTACGGCATGCACCACGCAATGGACCTGTACCTCGCGCGTGCAGCAACCTATGAAGAAATGGCCGACTTCCACGAAGCAGACTATCTCGACTTCCTGCGACAAGTAATGCCAGGCGACATCGACCGGCCCGAACAAAGCGACAATGTAGTCCGCTTCAACTTCGGCGACGACTGCCCGATCTTCGACGGCCTATACAACTACTGCTCCCTCTACGCAGGCGGCACAGTCGACGCCGCCCGCAAACTATGCAACAACCAATCCGAAATCGCAATCAACTGGTCCGGCGGCCTTCACCACGCCAAAAAGCAGAAGCATCGGGCTTCTGCTACGTAAACGACATCGTCCTGGGAATCCTCCAACTCCTCCGCCACCACCCGCGCGTCATGTACATCGACATCGACGTCCACCACGGCGACGGCGTCGAACAAGCCTTCTGGTCAACCGACCGCGTGCTCACAGTCTCCTTCCACAAATACGACAAAGACAATTTCTTCCCGGGCACTGGCGCCCTAGACGATACAGGGCCCTCCCACCCCCTCAACCCAGGCGCCCACCATTCAATCAACGTTCCCCTCAACGACGGCATCGACGACGACTCCTACATCCAGCTCTACCACGAAGTCATCGGCGCCTGCATCGCTACCTACCGTCCCGGCGCGATCGTCCTCCAATGCGGCGCTGATAGTCTAGGCTGCGACAGACTCGGCTGTTTCAACCTGAACGTGCGCGCGCACGGCGCCTGCGTCGCGTTCACGAAGACGTTCGGGTTACCACTTCTCGTCGTTGGAGGCGGCGGCTACACACCGCGCAATGTATCGCGAGCGTGGGCACATGAGACATCGATCCTGCTTGAGGCGGACAAGATATTGGACCCAACGATCCCGGATGCGGTTGCGTTCCGGAATCACTTTGGTCCTGATTACTCGCTTTTCCCGCCCCTGTCGGAACTGCGGAAACTTGAGAATAAGAATCCGCGTCCTTATCTTGCTGGGCTTGTTGAGGCTGTCCATGAGCAGTTGCGGTATATCCAGGGCGCGCCGAGTGTGCAGATGAGTTTTATTCCGCCTGATATTTTGGGTCTTAGGGAGGATACGGAGAAGGAGATTGAAGAGCAGATGTTGCTTGCTGAAGAGGAGAGGGAGGAGTTTGACGGAGGTGGGTCTGTTGCTGCTGCTTCGGCTGCGGTTGCTGGCTCTGGGACTGCTTATACTGGTTCTGCCGGGGCTATTCCGCGTCCTAATCGGCGTAGGGAGCTTGAGCGTGGGGCTGGGTATAAGGGGGAGCTTTATTCTTGATTTACTGGCCTTGTCAAATGACGGTTGTGATCTTTGAAGCATGGCGCATCGAGGGCTGAAAGGCGTTTGTATGTGGGCGTTTGGGTTGTTCTTGTTTGTGTTTGGCATTTATCTATCTGCCTTTCTTGTGATATCCCTGTACAGTACTGAGGAATGAATAAACCATGAACCTTGAGATTAGGATCTATGACAGAAGACCTTCCACGTATATGGTCATTAAGTCTTCTGTGGAAAGTGCCGCTCGTTACGCTAACCTATACTACTCCTATTGTTTGTATAATAATTTCATTTCTGACAACAATTCTTGTTTTTCTTTTGGGGTTTAAATTAAACAAATCGGGTATCCAGCAATGGGAGCGGTATGATGGCCGGAAACGCTGTGTTGAAACATCAGAGGGGCGGAGGAGAAAATTAGTCAAGGACAAGCGTATCGCTGGCCGCCTCGAGTTCGGTTTGTGCTGGTAGTCTGCGAAGGTTGAGGTGGCAGAGTGAGAGAAGTTTAGAGTAAGTCGGGGAGTGATATTGGAAGGACGGGATGGGAAGGACGGGATGGATCCAGTTGGAGGCGGAGGGGGGCCGGGCTTAGTTGGTTTCCTGGGCGTCTACAAATTCTTCCACGTCGGACGTTTGTGTGTCTGTCCGTTGGACTGTCGCTTCATTTGCGTCACTTGGGGTTGCGGGAGGGTCTGGGCACGGGTGGTATTAGCTGTCTGTTGTCGCTTGGGGCATGTCGCCATAGTTCGGAGCGCTGGGATGGTGTGGCGGGATTTGGAATTGGGATGACTGTGTCTGACCTTGGACGATGGGTGCGATGGCTAGGATCTGCTTGGTGGCCAGTTTGGGATTGCGCATATCGCTGAGCAGTCAGTATGGATCGCAGCTTTTCGGTGTGGGACTTACACTTCGGCATTGATAATCCAGTCAAGATCTTCCTCGCCTTCATCAGGACCACCAGGTCCACCCTGGACGGGACGGAATAGTCTGGGACGCCAGTCGATTCCTTCGTCAGCACGCTTGGCAGCTTCATCTCGCTGACGATCTTCGATCTTGGTTTTTTCGTCTGTGGCAGCTTCGTGGTTGCGAGCGACAATCGCTTGGACTGTGTCGTACCACAGGCGCTGCGATTCCCGCTCGCCTTGCTCCTCGAGTGGACGTGCCAAAGGCTTCGTATGCTTTGCGTGCAGCGCATCGAACAAAAGGTCTTTCTTATGGGTCTGCTTCAGTCAGTGCCAGGACCAAGTATATTCGTTGAGAAATATGCATACGCGAACATCCTTGATATGCATCTCTCCATTCCATAAACCCGACAATTCATAAAGCACTTCACCACTTTGCTCGTCTTTAATCGTTCCACCAATAGCGTTATATGTACCGGAGAAATAACCCTTCGTCTTAAACTCGATATCGGCCACGAGGTGATTTTCGGGACAACGGACATAGCTGTGATCGCCGAGCTCATACTTCATCTTGCCGAAAAGAATGCCGCGCGCATACATATTGGGTTGAGTCAGGATACTAGCAGTGTTAGTTTCAATACTTGAACAAGCCGAGGTCCAGCTCACTATCTCTCGCCCTTTTCTTTGTTCTCGCCGTGGTTCAACAGCCGCAGAATGGCAATCCCCTCCATCAGACTGGCAGCCGAGTTGCCCAGGAACTTACTCCGGGGCTTCAGGGTTCCATCAATGCGTATATTATGCTCCGGCGCGGCAAAGAAATAGCTCGACTTGGGCGGGTGGTGGGATGTCTGCTCGGAAATGTAGTAACCGCGGGTTCCATCGGGATAATCCCAGTAGCAAGTAAAGGTCTCTCCAAGGATCGGGTTCAGTGGTTTCTTCACGCCTCTATAAAAGCCATCAGAATATGTCCCCCCGCTAAATCACGGATGACGTACGGTGGTTTAATGTGCCACCCACTCAGGTAGAATTTGACCACGGAAACAAAGCGCTCGACCGGATCATCAATCGTCGACATGGGAAGCAGGGTTTCGGGATGGGCCATGAAGCTGTTCGCGGTCAGATTAGCACGTCATCGACATAGCTAACGGGGTGTTTCGGTTGTGGACGTACTTGGTGATTCGCTCCAGCATGGATCGGGGCTCCAGGATGAAGGTCGGCAAGACGACGCGACTCAAGTCGGCGCCGGGTCGCAGCTGAGAGATGATGTGCGACAGCACTGAGGCGTTCGAGTCAGTTTTGCGCTGTTGCGGTGGGATTGTACGCACCATTTCCCTGGTCGGGCTCGACCACCTCGTCTTCCCCGCTTGGCGGGGAATCATCCATAGATGATCTACCTAGCTCGGCGTCAGTAGACATTATTTGTGGTTTGATGTGTGTCGCAAGGGAGAACGGCGGGACAAACTTACTGGCGAGGGAAGAACGGCGGAGATGCGGGACCGGCATGTCTGCGTGCGGACGAGTAGATCCCAACTCGGACGTCTGCTTTCAAGAAGTTTTGCATATAAATTATTGAAGATGAGAAGAAAAGAAAGCAGATTTCTAGGCGCCTAACTTGTGGCGGGAGGACCGGAAGAGCTACTCGGAGGTAAAATAGATGAAAGAAAAGAAAAAAGAGAGACCAAAGTAGAAAATAAGAAATTCTTAGCCTCTTGTGACGTATTTTCTCCCAACCAGTCTATTTTCTTTCGCATTTACTCAACACCAACCTTACTCTCTACTCTTTGAGGGGCATTTTCTTGGCTTCGCCGTGTCTAACTGCAGGCCCAAGTATTCTGCATATGCAAACTCTCCTCCTTCTCTTCCCCACCAAACTCCTCACACCCGTTCGATCAGCGGCACATCTCCCCGGGTGATCTCCCTCACAAATGCCATATCGGGACGATGAAGCATGACGTGGAAGTGTTCAACCGCATGAACCGACTTGAGCGACTTCCAATTTCTAAACCAGACAACCTGAAACCCCTTTAGTCCCCATCTCCCGTCGTATTCGTATTGAAGCTGACTTACTTGGTCGGCCGGTACGCGCGAACAAAACGTGCGCAGCACATACCTCTCTATGGCTTTGCGCGCATGTGGCGTCAAGTCACCGGTCGCAGGATCATCCTCCAGCTCGAACTTGGTCCATACTACCAGATGAATGATATCCGTGTCGACGCCATAGGGCCAGTCGTTGTAGAGGATTCGAATGTCGTCTGTCAAGTTATCAGTCTTCCTTGCTTTCCACACCAAACCGTTTTCCCCCTCCCTCTCTACAGTATATGCCATACCGTCGTATTCGAAGAGGTTGCCTCGGGGCTTGAGGTCTTCTGTGCTGCCGTCACCCCAGTGTAGTCGTTCTTTGACCACGAATCTCATGACTGAGGAGTACTCGGCTTTGATTTGCGCTGTGTACTCTAGGTACTTGCGGAGGTCGCTCGGGACACGCTGGAACCGATCGATCCGGTTGGTTCCTGGCGGTTTGTAGTTAGCCTTGAACAGCAACAGTATTCATGGCAGCGAGCAGGTAGGCTTACTGATTATCTCCTTCACTTCCCCCCAGTTCTGTCGAGTATAGTGGTCATCGGGCGTCGAGAGACATTGTATGTTTTTCGGTGGCTGATCCCGCAAAAACTCAGGACATTCAGCCGTCCATCGCGACCGGGGTAGATTCACCAGCCAGAAAGGTAGAGTTTCAGAGGTCAAGTGGTGGTCGTGGAAGAAACGCGCCGGTGCTGTTGTATCGGCGTCTGTTAGTTTCTCGTCGAGCGTGGTGATCGTAGCGGCCGGTGTTGACGGCTCTGTGAAATGCGGCATTGTGACTGGTAGTCCAACCCGGTCAACAACTGAATATGTTGAACGTTAAGAGTGTGTTGGAACTCCCCCTTGGGACGTCACCGCCGAGTGCCAAATGGAGTGAGGCGTTTCCGGCCGTCGATCGTCCCCGGAATCCACTGTGGCAATTTATTTTTAACAATACATAGTTAATGCTGAAAAATTGATGTCTTTAGGATTCAGCGAGCGAACTGAAGGAGCTATTAACTAGACTCATGTTTAAGTGCTCTACAAAATCTGATGATGTACCAGTTGAAGTTCATGGCAACACGCACAAAGCATCAATTGAGAAGGAAGAGAGGAAGGCGGAGGTGTGAGAACCCGCTATATAAACCCTACTTTGGCCTCTCCTTTTTCACCTCTTTTCGAGTACCCCGGGTTCACCATATTGATCATACAAGGGTGCAGATGTGAAAGGACTTGTGGCCTAGTGACTGTATGTGGCGAACATGCCTTGTGATTTGATATGCAATCCCTTATTCCACTTAAGGATCTGAGTTCAAAGTTGAATACATGCAGTCACTGGGGAGTCCAACTGAGGTTCTATGCATTATTACTGAACAGAAGGTCAGCTCTGTGTCAAAACGAACGAGTTGTGATGTCAATCAGCGCCAGAAGTATCAAGGCTATCCCGCAATCTCTAGACAGACCATCACAAGACATAGAACCGGAAAAAGGACATCCACCCCTCAAGTCCTCTATATACCGTGGATAATTGGATCCATTATAGAGATAACTGAAACACCCGCAGCCTCCAACTCGCCCTTCACAGCACCCCAGCCATCAGGCACAACACACCTAGTAGCCTCCTCAACAACCCAACTCCGAAACCCAGCCTTAATAGCATCAACAGCAGTATACTTAACACAATAGTCCCCAGCAAGACCAACAACAAAAACGTCCGTAACACCCTTTTCCCTCAGAGCCGCCGCAACATCCAAGCTAACAGACTGAGCGTTGATACTGAGATCACAATTCCCAAAAGCATCCGCAAAGACAGAGTACATCTCAATCTGTGGGTGCTTACCCTTCTGGACAACCAGATCAGCCTTGGATGTGTCGATTTCTGGGATTATCGCTGCGCCGGGTGTATCCGCTACGCAATGGATTGGCCAGAGCTGTTGGGGCTTGGTTTCTGATTGTTTCCCTGGGGCTGGGTTTTGCATTGTGATGCTTGATATGAAGGGCTTGTTGTTTGGTTCTGGGTGGTTGCTGGCGAAGGAAATGTGATTCCTTGGGTGGTAATCTTGGGTTAGGACTCGGGTTATGAATCCTGGTTTTGAGAGGAGAGTGTTGATTGTTGATGATATCTCTCTGCCTTCTTGGACGGCCAGTGAGCCATTCTGGTTATGTTAGTATGGTTGGGCTTTTCTTAGGATGTAGAGTATTGCTATAGGGTAGATCTAGACCTACCGGGGGGCAGAAGTCTTCTTGCATGTCCACCACGACAAGGGCGGGCTTGATAGCTGCAGTTGCAGCCATGTTGAGGGCCTTGTAAATTTATCAAGGCTGTTGAAGGGAAAGGGAACATAAAACAAATAAGGCAGAGTAGAAGAGATAACAGTGCCAAGTGGTTGCGTAGACGACATATTTGACGGGCAGAATATTAGATCAGCAACACATCATTCCACTTACAGAAGCGGAATATATGGCGGTGGATAGCTTCTCAGCCGAGCACTAAAACGCGGAAGTTCTGCAAAACCTTCACTCTTTCTTCCTCCTCAGGGCTCCGGCCCCAATACATTTCAATAATAAGGTAAGTCATGTTGCTATCTCACCTCACCTTAATTACCTGATGAACCCTTTTATTGGAGCTGTCTGAGCTTTTGCTATGCGGATAAACTCATTATACGCTTTTCATCTTTCTGAATCACCTCACTTTCACCACACTTTTGGAATCAATCTACCAAGATCAGTCGCTAACTGCCTCTGATAGTCAACAGGAAATTGTAAACTCAACTTGAAACCTCCCTGAATACCCACCAAGAAAGAAACCCCCCTAGAAACAACTTGAAAGCACCCATATAGTCTATCTCTATTCTACACCCTCTATTATAGTACCTCCAAAAAGATGGCATATGATCCCCGCCGCTCAAACTCGGGCACTTCAACTCCCCAACCACCACCACCTCCCCCACCACCACCAGAAACCACCGAAATGGCAACGACAGCCCTAGAAGAAGTCAAGCCAGCCGACGAAGCCGGCACGACAGACTCCTACAAGCTGAAGTTCTGCACAGTCTGCGCATCCAACAACAACCGCTCAATGGAAGCCCACCTCCAACTCTCCGGCGCGCCAACCGCCTTCCCAGTCATCTCCTTCGGCACAGGCTCCCTCGTCCGGCTCCCAGGCCCATCAATCACCCAACCAAACGTCTACAGCTTCAACACAACCTCCTACAATCAGATGTACGAGGAACTGCACAGCAAGGACGAGCGGCTATACCGCAGCAACGGCATCCTGAACATGCTCGACCGCAACCGCAACCTGAAATGGGGTCCTGAGCGCTTCCAGGACTGGGTTCCTGGGATGCCGCGTGTCGACCATCTCTCCAAGGGCGACAAAGGCGCCATTGGGACGGAGGGCGGCGTTGTCGATGTAATTATTACGTGCGAGGAACGGTGCTGGGATGCTGTTGTTGATGATTTGATGAATAAGGGCTCCGCGCTTAATCATCCCGTGCATGTTTTCAATGTCGATATCAAGGATAACCATGAGGAGGCTTTGACGGGTGGAAAGGCGATTCTGGATCTGGCGAATCGCTTGAATGAGGCTGCTGTTGCTGAGCATCGGGTTCATGGATCTAGTGGCTGGGAGAATGGGACTGGCCCTGCGCGTCAGAGCTTCGATGAGAAGGTTCCAGAGATTCTGGCTGAGTGGCAGGAGAAGTATCCTCATCTGCCAGCTCTGTGGACTTTGGCTTGGCTTTAGTTGCTTCTGGCTTGTTTGCGGGATCGGAATCGGGGCGTTGGTTTTTACTTTGATCTTACACAGCATCTTTGATTACTGCTATGTCTGCCTTCTAGAGGGACTCTTAATGGCCATCATTTGCGAGCTTGTCAATCTCGAAGAGAATAATTCAATATTTATCATTCAAGAGTCTCGCACAAACTGAAGGGGTATCAAGAAATAAAAAATAATAATAAAACCCAGAGACTACTTAAAGATAAATCTGCTCATCTTTGATACTCTCTTCCCCTTTGACATTCTCATTTTTGACGTCCTGCTTACCAGGAGCTTCATGCTTAACGCCCTCTTCATCCCTCGAAAGCAGAAGCTCCCTCCTCTCCCGATACCAAGTATCAAGACAAGCCCTCCTCTGCTCTTGCGTCATACTTTCAACAACAAGCGCAAACTCGGTAGCATCAGCATATCCAAAGTGCCTCGCCATGCTGCAAAACTGGCGCCGCCTCACATCCTCGGGGGGATGATACTTGAACCGCACAGGTTCCTTGGCTTTATCAGAAACAGGTTGGGAGGACATGAACACCTGCCGATCACCGGTAGTATCATCAGGCGCAAGCTTAGCGCGACGACTCAAATCCTCTTCGACGCGCGAAGACCCGATGACTTCGTTGTTCAGGTGGGTATATTCAACACCTGCACCAGCGAGGATTGCCTGGACAGGATCGTGCTTGTGGGGCGTAGGCAGGTTTGTTGAGGATGAGGTCGATGGCTTCGGTTTCTCTTCGTCACCCGTGCAGATCATTGTAGCCAGTTGGCTCATTGCCTCTTCTTCCGCTTTCATGGGTCGTTCTGTGAAGTCGTGGGCCTCTTCTTCAGCTTTCAAATCTACGTCAACGACTTGGACGCCTGCTCGACTTTCGGCGACGTTGGTTCTGTTGACAATGTCGCGCAGCACGATGTTGTTGTTCTGATACCCGAAGAAATTGCGTAGACCAAAGATCTCACCCTTTTGATCCTTCTTTTCTTGCACGCCTTTGAAGTAGCGGCGCTCCGAGCTGGCATTGTAACCGATGTTTGCTTGCTGCTGTTTGTAAATCTGGCGAGCGTAGACAATCTCTTCGATCGTACCAGCAGATATGAGTCGGAAAACCTCGACATCACGGTGTTGGCCTATACGGTAGGCACGATCTTGGGCTTGCAGGTCATATGAGGGATTCCAATTCGGATCGACCACTACAACCTTGTTCGCCGATGTGATGTTGAGACCGACGCCACCGGCTTTGGTCGATATGAGGAAGACAAACTGCCTGGGATCAGAGTTGAAATCGTCAACGGCCTTTGCTCGCTCATCGTAACTCATTGACCCATCTAGGTAGCTAACATTATAACTCGTGTGGTGAAACAGCATCTGTAACATCTTCAGGAGACGCACGCTATGTGAGAATATGAGGACCTTATCCCCGTTGGAATGCCACCATTTCAACAGTTTCCGAAGAACCTTCCATTTCCCGCAAAACTCAGGGTTTGCATAATTCACAATTGAGTCCCGCGAGCGGTACAGGTCTTCCCACTTGGTGGGGAGTGCAAGTTCCAACATGGCTTTGTCCTTCTCCTGCTTTTCTTTTGGATCTGCCCCTTGGGGAATTAGAATAGCCAGGTGATTACTGAGCTTTTGAAGAACAGTAATGGCGGGGAAGACATAAGATTGCCATGCAGGAGGATCTCTGCCTGGAATATGCTTGTAGCAACACCATCCAGCTTTCTTCCCCGAACCGCAGTCGCATGGCTGTGTAGAATTCTTGATATATTCAACAATATCGCTGTCAAGGAAATTCTCGTAAGCTTCGGCCTGGGTCTCAGTCAGAGGACAGAAGACGACACGATCGCTCTTTTTAGGCAGCTGATCTGCTATCAGTGTCTTCATCCTTCTGATGAAAAACTGGGGAAGTAGGTTCTCAACCAGCTTCTTAGCCGTTTTTCGGGCTCTGCTGAGCTCACTCAGGGTTGCGTCGTGTGATTGTCCAATCTTTAACGGCTCGCAGATCTGGGCCTTCCAGGTGGAGACTGGTCCAAGCATCCCAGGGTTGGTCCAGTTGAGAAGAGTCCATAGCTCCTCGTATTTGTTTTGAATTGCAGTGCCGGTGAGACCGATACGACACAGCGCGTTAATCTCATTCATAGACTGGGTGGTTTCCGACTTGCGTTCCTTAATTTTGTGGCACTCATCTGCAATCACACAGTCCCAGTCAATCATATTGATTGAGCCCTTGTTGTTCATGTAGGTGGTGTAGGTAGTGATCAATATTTCTACCCGTCCAGACTTGGCTGCATGGAGGGCGATGTCCTTATTTTCGCCATGGTAGCTATCAACATGCCACCATCCCCATCGTGCAAACTCGGCCTTCCAGTTGGAAATCAGTGTTCCAGGGCAAACGATGAGGGTACGTGGGTACCACGCACTGTCGTCAGATCTCCGCATCTTTCGCATGCGCTTGGCATCCCGTTCATCGCCTGTTTTCCCGTAGGCGGCGGTCAAGAAAGCAATCACCTGGATGGTCTTGCCGAGACCCATATCATCACCGAGGACACCACCCTTTTGATACACAAAAAGCTCGTGAAGAAACGCGGCACCTTCCACTTGGTACTGGCGAAGCCACTGGGCAATTGGTGCGGGAATGATCCCAAGAGAATATGGAAGTTGGATGTCTTTGTATTCCTGTTTCGGTTCGGTGTTCAAGAAGACAGGCCGTTCTTGAAGTTCTTCGAGGCGTTCATCGTCGGAGAAATCGACATCATCATAGGATGGTGGCAATTTCAGACCGAGATCTTGCAAACGCTCTTGTTTGCGATCAAACTGAGTACGGCGAGTTTTGAGATAGCCAGGCAATGCGTCTTCTAAGAGTTCATCTTCAGAGGAAACCTCGCCATATTGCTTTAGTGGCCGCTTCTGGACAGGCTTTGGTCGCTCTGGCTTCACTCGACCAACGATCGCGTCTGCATCGTTCCTGGGAGCTTTCGTTTTGCGAGTAGCCGCAGCGCTCTGCCTGCGCTTCAGGGATTTTCGGTCCTTGAATTTCTTGTAGGCCGTCTCGCCATCGTTGAAATTGTCGGAATCGCTATCCACGGGCTGGGGTTTCACCACACTTGATGGCCCAGTGGGGGTGCGCGTAGTCTCCGACTTGATTGGCGTTGCGTTTCGAGGCTTCGCAATACCCCGATCTGAAAAGTTGTTAGCTGCATGGAAGGCGCGTCGCGAAGGATCACATACTGCTTGCAGGAGTTGAATAGTGTGTCACCTCCAAATCATCGTCTGAGTCGATAGAAATCAGCTCAACTGGATGGTTATTTCCAGCCATATTTTCTGCATATTAGTCGACGCCAGAGTGCGAGCCGAAAGAGTCGCGCAAGTCAAGGTCGTAATACAGTACCAGGCTGTCGCGAAGCAGCTCCGATACAGTGGCGGATAGCGGCCACCGGACAAAGATGTGGATTCCTTGGCAAATTTAGCTTGAGTGAAAGGTGTTGAATAAGAGAACTGAAATTTCCGACTTGGAAATTACTTAAACCATTACAAAAATTGATAATGGAAATTCAACAAAGTTGAGTTGAGTTGACATGAGATGCTCATAGAGCAGGTCCCACTTGTGTCACGTGATATCAAGGGAACCAGAAAAAAGAGCGGCCGAATGACAATCGACGCTTCAATTGAGGTGGAATTGACCTTTTGCGTACACAATCAAGCAAATGTGAGTTGGGTATTTGCCTGTACAGCTCTCATATTCGAACCCAGGATATCTAGCTAATAACCGTGCCTCTACAGTATCCAAGGCTAGAGCTTCATTCCTTCCCAACGCATACATCTTTTCACCTTGGAAGAACTGCTTCCCTGAAAATTCAAGGGGCCCACAGCAAATATGCCTCTTGACACTTCGACCACATATCCTCTCACGAGGCTGCGCCTTGACGGCCGCCGCTGGAACGAGCTCCGCCTCCTCCAAGCCCAGATTTCCACCAACCCCGCCAGCTCCGGTTCTTCATACCTGTCGATGGGCAACACATCAATCATGTGCTCCGTTCACGGACCGGCCGAGGGTCGCCGAGGTGAAGGAGGTGGCGGCGCAGGCAGCGGTAGCGCCGTCGTTGAGGTGGACGTCAATGTCGCCGGGTTCGCCGGTGTGGATCGCAAACGGAGGGCCGCCGGAAGTGACAAGTAAGTATTACTTGCTATCTCTATATCAGGCACTGTTGGCAAAATGGCTACTTGTAACCACCAATGTCGGGACAGGTGCCATTAGCATACAAGTCATACTAATACGGCTACAGACAATCGTCGCGCATTGCTACAACTCTTCGCGCTGCTTTCCAGTCGCACCTACACACATATCTCTACCCACACAGCACAATCAGTATCCACGTCTCCGTTCTCTCCGCCGACGGCTCTCTGCTCGCCGCGGCAATCAATGCCTGTACTTTGGCCCTCGTTGACGCAGGTATTCCCATGCCTGGTCTGCTTTGCGGCTGTACTGCCGGCATGAGTGGTAGCGCCTCTACACCACGGGATCCACGACACGAAGAGCTGGACCCGCTGCTGGACCTGTCTCTGCCAGAAGAACAGGAACTCCCATCACTGACGATTGGAACGACGACGGTTGTGCCCGTAGGCGAGAACCACATGGATGATGATGACGAGGAGACGATGAAGGTCTCAGTGCTAAGCACGGAGGCTAAGGTTCACTCTACATACATGGAGACGATGTTGGCGGTAGGAATTGATGGATGCAGTCAGATCCGCGAGCTGTTGGAGGGTGTTATCAAAGGGTCGAAGCGGGGGGTGAAGGCAATTCGAGATGAGAATTATTGAGATACCCTGGTCATTTTTGCTTTTGTCTTCTTAACGGCGTTCAATATGAGAGAATCCGTTCAATTCCACGATCTTAGGGTCGCAAGTCCCGTGCTCCCACATGCTTTAGATTGTGTTTCCTTCTCTTCTCTTCTCTTTTCCTTTCTCTCTTCTTACGCCCTCTCCACTCGGTGTCTTCAACTGTTCAATCTCAATCGACGTTGATCATCCATCATGGATCTTACTGACATCAATAACACGACAACATTAATGGCTACAGGCTTGTAGTTATGCCCAGCAATACGATTAAACAGCTCACTTTCCGCCATCCTCCCACCATGTCTCAGAAATCTGCAAGTCGAGACCGTAGTTTATTACGGTCATCGGCGTTCTCACCCAGCGTAGGTCTGGCTACACACCTTCTCTTTTACGGTATCTAATCATGCCAATAGACGTTGCGACTATGACTGTGTGCTTCGTAGTTTAATACACAATCTCCCGCAGGCCCCGCGCCGTCCCTAAAAAGAAAGAAAAAAAAGGCCATTGTACAAGTACACCTTGACAGAGTTGGTTCTCCTTAAGAGGTGAACACGGGTCGAACATGGCATGGACCCTTGCAGGGGTTTGTTATAGGCGTGCTTCGCCGCGCGTCATCTTTTAGTTTCTGGGTGGCACGCGTGAAGACTGCCAAACGCCTGGAATACTATCAGGCGTTAGGACTGCAACCTACCTCCTCTTCGGATTATCATTCGTTTGACTCTAGTACTTCTAGCAAATTCTACTCCGGTATTTTGGGTGACCGAGCACCTAGGAAGATTACTCCGCGGTACGAAATTGAAAGACGGCAATCGTTACCAGGTCAGACTTAGCTTCCGGTTTTTTGTCTATTTTCCTTGTTTCTGCGCGCACGGGGTAGCGTATATGTATGGATGCTTGGCATGGGTCTTTTGAAGGCTTCTTATAGGGTGCTATGATAATAGGAATGTCTCTTCTGTTTCGCTTGCGCCTTGACTACTGCTTTCACCTTACTCTGGCCTTAATTTTTTTTCACCTCTCTTGCCCATTTTGAGTATCTCGGTTGTAGTTGTTTGAAAATGGTGGCTTAATGATGTAGGTTGCATAAAGGTGGGATGTGAAAGGATGTATGGAGGACACAGTAAACATGCATATATGGATTTTGAAGACGAGCTTGAAACAACTCAAAAGACAGACTTACACCGCCCAAAATGTCCAATCTTGAAGGTACGGCTCTCTTAGAAAACTATATTTGGGCCGGTTTAAGAAGGAATCATCAATTGTGCATGTTTCTACAGGAAATGGAAACCTTTCCCAGAAAAAAAACCTTTCATCCCACGCGGGGTACGGTGGTGTAGTCCAGCCCGCGATCAAAGCCCTCGAATCACAGCTTGGACACGTGGAAAAATTAAATGCTATGGGGATTTCTATTCTTGTAGAGTCATTTCGGTGATCGATTTCGTGATTTGGGGTGGATCACTACCGAACTACATGTATCTAGGTTCTGGCTAGTTCACTACTTTTGGGAATTTAGCTTACAGTGCATTCAGTAGTCTACACGGGTTTATAAGTAGAAGATCGGTACCCTGTAATACAAATGCATGTATGACTAGTTCAGTGGACACTCTAGATTACAGTGCGCAAATGGGGAAGCCACCTTGGCTAGTTCCAATGCACGGCGTGAACAGGGATAGGACTAAGTCCTTGGAAAAAGAAAGACTTCCAGGCTCCAAACCTCCAATTAAACCTCCCAATTGAGCTGTTTACTGGCCACCGCAGGCGACGATGGTGGGCTTGACGTTGGAGCGGATAGAGCCGGAGGAGCTGCCGAGAGCCTCGATGGCCTTAACGACGGCCATGGACTTCTCGTCAGCGACCTCGCCGAAAACGACGTGCTTGCCATCGAGCCACGAGGTGACAACGGTGGTGATGAAGAACTGGGAGCCGTTGCTAGAGAGGGGGAAATGTTAATTTTGCTTTAGCATTGTCGACAACGTGTGTGACTTACGTGTTGGGGCCAGCGTTGGCCATGGAGAGGAGACCGGGCTTGGTGTGCTTGTACTTAAAGTTCTCATCGGGGAACTTCTCGCCGTAGATGGAACGACCACCGGTACCCTATTGAAGTCACGGGTCAGCCAATTGCATTTCACCACCCACCGTCGGGGTAAAACTCACGTTGCCGCGGGTGAAGTCACCACCCTGGAGCATGAACTGGGGGATCACACGGTGGAAAGCAGAGCCCTTGTAGCCCTGGCCTTCGGGGGCATTGCAGAGCTCGCGGAAGTTGCGGGCAGTCTTGGGGACATCAGCCTCGAAGAGGTTGAAGTTGATGCGTCCAGTAATGGCTAATGAGGGAGTCAGTATCAATTCACATAAACAATAGCGTAAGAGGGCCCCAGCCTGGATGCCAAATGGAATTGGAGGCTGAAATTCTCGGCAGCAAAGGGGTGAGGCTTGGAGGGGCAGAGAGTTTTTGCCCCTCCAGAGTAGAAAGGAAGAAGGAACTTACGGGCAGGCTCGCCAGCGGGCTGGTACTGCACGTCGAAGTAGGCGGTGGTGTTAGACATGGCTGCGGATGATGAAGCAAAAGATCGGGCAGCGGGGTGGAAAGAAGTGCAATTGAAGAGAGAAGAAGAGAAGAGGGAAGAAGGTGGGGTTATTGACCTCAGTCGGCAGAACATGATGAGGGGCAGGGCGGAGCGGGTGAACTCGGGTGCCGGGCTACTTTGGGGTTAGCTTGTTGGGTTCACCATAAAGACCACGTGTGCTCTTTCTGCCTGAGGCTTCCAATTGAAGCTTCCCAGACTCTCCAGGGGCTCGACTCTTTCCACAGATAGCCTTAGGGAATCTGGCAGACGAGCAACAAGCACACTGGAATTCACAGCTCAAATGGTTGGACTCACTTAAAGATGGTATAGATTGAGATTGAGATGGTACAGAAGTAGATGAGAGGAAAAAACGAAGCTCAACGCCAAAAAGCGCCTAGATCTCCGTGCTTATGTAAGAGCCGGGACAACCCTTTCAAGGTTCCGGGGAACACTATAGGCACTAAGATATCAAGGACATCCATGGATTATATGTATCTCTAATTCTGAAGTTTGATTATCAAAAAAACTCAGATACATGCTACCCGCTTTGAGATCGGGAAGGACTGAGCAAATATTGGAGTCATAATTAACTTTTAGGGGGTAACATCAGGATGAACTGCAGACGACTTCTTTCCATCCTCAACACCAAAGATGTCTTTGTCTTCTCTCATAAACCGTTTCCAAAAACAGGATGATCAATACAGATTCAAGTATCCTGTTGATGGTGAACTGACCTGGAAGGAAACTCGCCTCGAACGAAGTAGAGAAATAGGAGCCCTTCAACGATATCGATATTCTGTTTACTGCGCACGTGCGAATGACCGAGAACGGAGTTCTTCCAGATACCTCCTCGAAACAGAAGCGAATCTCCGAGCAATCGTTCAAAAAGAAGTATTTCTTAGAGAGCAACTCAAGAAGGGATATGTTGATTGTCGACAGCCAGACGAAGCGACAGGCAAAAGCATCAAAGAGGAACTCAAAGCTCTGAGTACCAAGTGTTGGCTCCTCGAGCAAGAATGGTGGCAGCATCGCAGTACCTTTTCTTAGGGATGTCATTCAAGAGCATTCGATTTATGGCGATCACACCCAAGATGGTATATGCATCGAGGCCTAGTCAAAGATTGTGCTGGCAGACAAGGCTGTTGTGCTCGGGGCTGTAGGTGTTGCACAGACCGCCAAATCAGTTCACCAAGTAAGCTTGGGGTTGGGCATTGTACTCTTGAATGTGGATGTTGTCGGAAGGCTCGACGCTTTGAGCTTACAGAGCAAGAAAAGAAAGACACCAACGAACGTTTCAATGTTCAAATTGGCAACCCTTACTCATCGTGGATGATTCGACTTGCAATATGGGGGTTGAACATGATAGCTCCGAAAATCCATTTGATTTGATTGAGGTGCCATATTATGAAAAGACCTATACGAAAAAAGCAAAGCCCTTCTTTGGAAAGCTCCTTGGGAAAATACTTGCTGAGGGAAAAATGGCTGCGATTTTGTAATGGGAAGGTCCTGGTTTGCTTGTCTACTTGCCGTTAGAAGACAATATACATTGAGGTATGCAAATCACTTGCTGGAATCAAAATGGACACAATGATATGTTGAGCAGGCCTAAATTTTGCTTGTTTACTTGTTGAGAATACCTAGGTATTAGGGCTTTTTAGATGTCATCTGGCATCCCGAGCTCGTGAAAACATACTTCCAAATTAGGAAATGCACCTTCCTCACAAGTGTAATTGCCTGGTCAAATAGCACATCGTAGAGCCCTCTCCAATTTGAATTGCCCTCGCTTTGAGAAACCGCTGCTGACATGGTGCGTTACAGAGGAGAAGATGGAATGCTGCGGGCCTCCGGGCCGGGCCATTCAATAAGCTCCCAGCACCAGTTTTTTTTTTTTTTTGTTTTTTGTTTTGTTGATATATTGTACCAGGAAGGGTGACTCTCTCAATGAAGAATCATTGGCAGGGAAAGATTCGAGTTCCAGTAAAGTAGAAGCATGTAGACACTATCGTACCACTAAAGTAGAGTAGAGTAGAAACAAGTAAAAGAGCAGGTAGTTATTCATTTCAACTGCACAAGTGCAGAATGCAAGAAAAGGTAACAAGCCGACGCCGAGGTCGTTGAGGAATACACCAACAGCACACAAGGACAGTGAGAACTTGCGAGGGTTGGAAATAAAGTACATAGAATAGTAAGAAGAAGTGAAAAGGGGGAGGTAGATAGATAGAGGAATAAAAGAAACAGATAGAAAAAATGCAAAAGGAAAAGAAACCATGAATGCCACACGCGTCGGGACATCGTTTCGACATTGTCCACTCGTTGCCATAGATAATGTTCGCTGAAAAGCAAGGGGCAAAGAGGATGGAATATAGATTGTAGATATTGAGATTTGACGGAGGAAAGGGAAAGGAAATGGGGTTGGGGGACATGGGGTATGATGCATGATGTCTGATACAAAAACACGGAGATGGAAGTGTAGCTGTGTAGTTGTGCATGATGATAGCCCCGAGTCAATATCAAAAAGAAAAAGAAAAAGATCACCGGAAATCATCCTCATCATCGGCAGACGCCATCGACTCAAGACGCTGAACGAGATCTTTCGTCTCACGAGCGATTTCGAATGCAATGGGCGGCAGCTTATTCGTGACTTCGCGCAGTTCCTCAGGTGTTGTAGCGTCTTGGCCCTCTTCCGCAGTGGCTACCAGTCTGTTGCGGCATTGTTCCAAAGCATGGATAACCGGCTCAGAGGTCTGCCGTAGAGCGACGTCGCCACTTCGTTCGTGCATCAGACGCTCTGTGTAGTTGACGACGTTTGCGACGACGCCTGAGATGTCGTTGACGTGCGTCTGGACTGTGTGTAGTTTTTCTCCGGCGCGGATACTGGCAACCAGTGCCTGGATGGATTGGACCATGCCGTCGGTTTGGTTCTCGACGTGAAGCTGGATTAACAGTCAGTATCAATATATTATAGCATGCATTAGAAGACTTACCTTCAGTTCCAACACTTCGTGATCACCCTGCGGCACACCCCAACCGTCATGGTTGACCCCGTTAGTGTAACCATTCTGCATAGCAGGGAATTGAGAATCATCAGGACGGCTCATAGCGCTGTAGACAGAGTCATTGCTCAACCGCTTCTGGCTAGCAGAGGTATCAAAGTAATCAGGGAATTGGGTCTGAGAAACATCCGCCTCCTCATCATCCTCATCCTCCAGCTCATCCGCAGGCGATGCCTGGATCTTCACGATGCGGATCAACTCGATGATAGCAGTGCAAAGATGCGAAGCTGCAGCATCGAGGAGCGACACTGGAGACAGACCACCAGAGCTGGCGAAGTTGCGCGTGGCGGTGATCATGTTGTTTGCCGTGTTTGATACCTGGCTCTTGGCCTTAGTGCGCTGCGCAGCTGTACCATCCACCGGGATTGGGGAGTGGTCCATGTCTTGGAGGATATGGCGGACGGCCACGACCACCATTTTGATTTGTTGGAGTACCACGCGTGAGTCCTCGAATCGTGCAACGCGCAGAAGTTCGTCGACTGACATCTGGAATTTGGTGACGTGGATATCTTTGACCAGACCGTCCACTTGGACGAGTTCGTGCTCTTTGGTGAAAACCCTTGCGTCGGGTCTAGAGTCGGCGAAGCCACCAGATGAGGTGCGGAGGTGCCGTAGCTGGGCCTTGACCTTGGCGTAGCGGTGCTTCCATTCGTTGGCGTCTGCCTCCAGCCGGTGTACTTCGTTGGACAGGTGTTCTTCGCGTTCCCAGTTTGCATGGCTCTCGGCTGTGAGGGTCTTCATTTCCATAAGGAAAGCTGATGCCTCCCGCTTGACTTCGTCGGTTACTTGCTTCTGCTGTTGCAGCGCTGCTTGCAGACTCCGGTTCTGGTTTTCCAGATCAGCGTACCGCGACTGCAAACCAGCATCCTCGACTCCCCGAGAAGACTCTTCGAGCTGGCTGCGAAGGTCACGTTCCATCGTGTCATGCTCTGTCCGAACTCTCTCAAGCTCAAGCTGGAGCGAGCTGTTAAGGTCCTCCGCTTTTGATACCTTATTCTCAAGCTCCTGTCGCAAGTCATCCCACTCCTGCCGCTCATTATGGCTGATCTGTGGAAATCGTCAGTAAATATCACTTGCCATTCTTCCCAACAAAACATACCCCAGAGGAATCCGCATCTTGTGACGAATGAGCCAGCTCCTCGTCCTTGGAGCGAACCAATTCTTCCAACTTCTCAATCTTATCTTGCAAAGCCGAAACCTGCGACTGACTCTCCAACAACAACTTCCGCTCACTATCACCCAAAGTCGTCGTAGTCCCCCGACGACTCAACACAGCATCCAACGCAAAAGCATCGCTACGAGCATCATCCTCATCCTCGCCTCCCATATCATCACTATCCTCAACCATCGTGCTCTTATTCGGAACCATAGTATTGCTCTGGAAAGCCCGAGGGAACGGCCCATCCCCATTCATTCCAGCCGGTGATCCCCCAAGAGAACCACCACGCGGCGGGAACGGACTACCCGGCGGCCCACCAGAAGGATAACCCCGACCCATGCGCGAGGGAGGCCCCCTCGACTGCTGCGAGCCCCTCGAGCCCGGGGGCATATTCGGGGGCGGGCGTGCTCGAAACTCCCGGCTGGTAAAGTGAGGGAAGCGGCGCTCCAGCTCACAGAAGACATCGGTCGCGAGGTCCCGGAAGCGCTGGTGGTGCAGCGCAGCCAGCTTTTGGCGGGCGTGGTTGCGCTTTTCGTGGAAGTCGGCGCGGGATGGGAGGTAAGGGGGTACGTCTGGACGGGGAGGTCGGCCAGGAGGCGGCATGGCCTGCTGCCGCCGAATCAATTCGTCGTATACATCCGTTGACAGTTCGTGGAACTGGGTGGGGGATAGGCGTAGCAGTTTGTCGCGGGCTTTGTTTGACTTGCCATTTTCTTCGCGGGCTGTGCCGTTCAGGAATCGTCGGAGGACTACATAGTGTTGGCCCAGGATCTCTTCCATCTGGCGGTATCGTCTGCCATCTCGTGGGCCGGCATCTCCTCCTATTGTGCCGACGCTTGATCTTGCGGCGACGGAGCTGGGAGGGGACGGGTTGCTGCTTAGGTTCGATGGGGATAGTGAGGGAGGACCGCCGCCGCCGTTTGGGCTCAAGGGTGCGCTGGGGACGCCGGAGGTCGGGGGTGTGGCTAGGTTGGCGCGAGATGATGGGAATGTTGGTGAGAACGGGGATTCCGATTTTCCATACTGGTTCAGTCCAGACCAGTCGCTTCCATCGACGGAGACTGGCGACATTGCTCCCGAGCCCCCATTCATGTCAGGTCGAAATGGTGAGAGTCCGGCTCTTCTCAGAATGTT